GATAGTCCATTGCTCCTCGACCTTCACGTGTTAATTCTTGTTTAGTTTTCATAACAAGGTCGGGTAGTCGGTTGGATCTTACTGTACCCACCGCATAAATACCCAGTCGTTTTAATTCGACCTGCAGTCGAATAGTTGTGAAGTAATTGTCAAAATAGATTTTATGATTCATTAAACGTGGTACGGTTTCACATAAGCCAAGCACAATATCGGTGCAAAAGCCGTATTGTGGACTCTCACCTTTACCAGTGTATAGTATGAAATCATAACATATACCAGTTTTTCCACCGGCAAGTACAAACATTTTATAGCCCCAACGATTAGGCTTATTAGGCATGTGCTGTTTCATGATGCTCTTACCTTTGAATGGTATTATTTGTTCGTCGACGCTTAATTTTTCTTCTTTAGTTAATTTTCGAAAGTTTTCTCGTATAATATTCATTAGCAAACGAACTTTATATGCACGATCAAAATTTGGATCGGTATTTTTTGGTTGAGTTGAATTGTCAACAGCATGTAAGTTTTTTTTAATTTCTAAAAAACGATTTCGGCTCATTGCTGATGCTATACAGTCAACACGAGTCGAACCTGTCCAGAAGAAACGTTGTTCCGGAAATGAATAAACGCCGGTCATCATTAGCACGCCGATGAATCGATTCATTTCCATTTCAGTAACACGAACTGGTTTATTTGGATCTTTCTGTACTGAATACAAGTTTGATTGATCCATTAGGAGTCTTATAGACTCGTGTCCAAACATAGAATAGAAATAGTCGATCGGTTGTAATTCTACATGTGTTGGTGGTGCTGGCAATGTACCAGCAAAAGCTGCTACTGGAGCCGCAAATTGCTTTTGCTGCCAATGAATTTTCTTTTTCTTTTTCCTTTTTGATTTTGAATCATCATTTTCGTGTTGTTCTATATCATCAGTTTCGTCGCTTTCGTCATCAGACGAAGAACTTTCGCTCATTGCCAATTCTCTTTCAAACACTTCTGCCACTTCACTCATTTCATCTTCTGATTCAGAAGAATCAGTTTCTTGTTCGCTTAAACCATTTAGTAAAATAGTTTGCCTTTTAAAAACTGCTCTTTTAGACATTGCTAAACAGTAGCTGATCACGAGTGGCAGTAGCTCCTTTTTCTGTGAGTACTGAATTTGCAAATTTATTATTATTTTTTACAACGTCGTTAAATGAACACTAGCTTTAACTGCAATAAAGTTTATATACGATCAACGATGATCAGACATAGACTTTTCTTTATATATATTGATGTCATGGAAACAAAGACAACAGTGCAGAATGACAAAGAAAGGAATGTATTCTGCACCAATAATGATAGTCTATGATAGATGGCCCCAGTAAGTTATAGATAATGTGAGCACAGGATATTTCGTTGAATTCTTCATATCTGTTTTAGGACTATATAAAACACATACTCTATTTATAGTATTATTCTTAGATGTTGCATTATGAATCAACGTATACTAGTATTTTTCTAACTCAGAGCATGAATTATTGTAAAATGTCATTTTTTCTGGCACACTGCTTTATTGAATTACCTAGAATGATATGATTTGAATATTCCCGTGTTGAAATGCTAAGAGTAATAAAAAAAAATTTCTGTCCCCTTCCAGCCGGGTGTTGCCATTTGGCAACATCATCCACTTTTGCTACTTGAGCATATTGAATAATTCATTCTTGTAGTGCGATAAATGGTAACTCTACCAAGGAACCTTGTCTAGTAATAACTTTTCATATGGACTGTTTTAATTTCCAGAAAATATTTTTTTAGCAATTTTACCCGTTTTCGGGATGTTTCTAGTGCATTCTGCCACGTTTCGAGGATAGTATATTCTTTGTCTAATTCATGATAAATATACGTAGAAATGAGCTGTAGTAATTATGGTATTGGCAACGTCTTTTATAATACTACTGTACGCTGACCAAGAGTAAAATATTGAGTTAATGTTGCCAAATGGCAACATCGGGCTGGAAAGGGTTAAGTCTATTCATATAATTTGAAAAACTTTTAAAACTGACGTGAGTTCAAACCAATTCCTTCAATGTAAAACATTTTGCAACTCAATTCAACTAATTCATCGAACATGATTTTTTCCAATTCAATTCAATTCATTTTCATAACAAAAATTTTTCCAATACATTTTGTTATTCTTTTCCTTCGTGGAATAAGTAAGAAAGAGTTTTATTGCTGTTCATCCCATAAAAAAAAGATTTTATTCTCTTCACAATGACAACGTACAACAAACTACTTGATAGAAAGATTTCGAGTCAGTTAACAAATAAACGAGCTAGAAGGTGATAAAAATAACTAGTGAACGAATGTAATCCGAAATGATAGATACGCACGTCGATATATCTTAGTGAATATATAGAGCACTCATGTACCTACATAATGGTGAAAACCGCAGCTCTCTATCTCTTTCTATTCTTGAGTTATTCAAAAAATATCCACGGCTATTTAATTTTTAGACAGACAATACTAAAATTTGATTTTCCCTTTTACTTACATGTTCTTGTGCATCGTCATCGGATGTATTCATTTCTGATGGATTGATTTCTGATGAATTCATCTTTTTTATCTAGAATAAACAAAACAGCACCTTATATATCTACATTATTCTCGAAACAATGTGGCCTATAATTCGAAGAAAAAACAAAATAGACGGACTAAGCCAGGAAAAAATAAAGGAAAATAGTTAATATCACTAGAGACAGTCATAGCGAGAGAAATCGAAAGAACGAAACAACCATTATTTTTCAACTGATTCAAGGACGATATTTATGGAGAAAACAAAGAAAATGGACAAAAAGATATCTGCATATTTCATGTATAGACTGCATCTGCATTTATTTCTAGTTCAAAGAATGAAAACATTCGGGTATTAGTCAGAGTTTATGTACTTTTAACAAAAGAATGGCCTTTTATTCAACGATAAAATTTAACTAATCTTTTCTATTCTGATTCATATTATGAAGACAGTCAAGATCATACAGTTACATATCATAGTTCACTCTTATAATCACCTATTCATATATGAATACCAAAATAATTAGAAATTTACTGATATTTATGCATTATTTCATGATCATCATTCTCTTATTCATATACCTCAATTAGTCAGTTTACTATTAATATTATATCGACTGATATTTTTGACAAATATTTCATACATCTGCAGCACGAATCATAATAAACAAAAAGAGAAACGAGAAAGATGTTTTTCTTCAGTGCAGGTCACTATTAGTTTGATTAGTGAATATGGCACTACGTAGTATCAGAATCAATATTAACACGTTATCAATAAAATTCATCATAATTATGAGTGCAAAAACCAAACCGAATTCGACTAGAATTGATTGATATTTATTCATATGATCTTTAATCAAGGAAAAAAAGACACATCTTATCTATATATAATTCCAGCGGTTGTCTGTCGTAGCCTCCTAATTGCAGCCAAAGATCAAACCAATTAGCAGATCGACAGTGTGGGCGGAAATTGATCTGATTTTTGGTCGCAATTCGGACATAGTCGTTGTTTGTTACAGAGCCAAAGGTCGAATATAAAAATTACTGTGCCAATAGTCCAAATCCAGATTTAACAGACGTTTGATTTTATCTTCATTAGACAGTCTACTATTCGAAAAATAACGAATTTTTATGAATTTTGAAAATAAAAAGAACTTCAAGATGAGGAAATTAGAAACAATGGAGGATTTCTCAGAAAAAAGTTCAACCTCGAAAATTTCAAAAAATGCCTCTAGATTCGAGTTGCTCGATCTTGAGAGTCGTCGATTAAACTTTGTATCAGAAATTATTATTTTCAAAAGAATATGTCTTATTTATATTTTTCTTCTNGCAGGTCTATTTAAAACGACTGGGTATTTATGCGGTGGGTACAGTAAGATCCAACCGACTACCCGACCTTGTTATGAAAACTAAACAAGAATTAACACGTGAAGGTCGAGGAGCAATGGACTATCGAATAGCTGAAGTTGATGGTGTTGAATTATGTGCCACCAGATGGTACGACAACAACGTTGTCAATTGTCTATCGACATTGCACGGTTGTGATAATACTGATTTAGCTAAACGATGGTCATCAAAAGAAAAAACTCATGTACATATTTCACGACCATTTGTAATCAAAGATTATAATGAAAATATGGGCGGCGTTGATCTGCTTGATATGCTAATATCTTTATATCGAATAAATATTCGTTCCGTCAAATATTACATGAAGATTATTTTCCATCTTATTGATCTTTCATTGGTTAATGCATGGTTGCTATATCGCCGTCATTGTTCTCAGAATCAAATTCACAAGAAAGACGTGCTATCTTTATTAACATTTCGAATTGATGTAGCAAAATCATTACTTCAATCAAGTCCACCACCACCGCCAGTGCAACGTGGACGTCCATCTTTACAGAATATATCAGATCGAAACAATACAACAATAGATGCAAGAGCTGCACCGGTTCCAGTTCCACCAACCAGTACTAGAATCGACAAGTTTGACCATTGGCCGGTGTCGACAACAAAAGGTCGCTGTAGAAATGGTCGATGCTTGGGATATTCAAGAATATCTTGTACAAAATGCAAAGTGCGCTTATGTTTAAACGAAAATAAAAACTGTTTTAAAGACTATCATCATTAACTAAGTATTTTTCTGGAAATTTCTTGTTTATTTGTTGTTTTTTGTGTTGCTATGTGTCTTATTTTTCTTCATGATATTGTACTTCTTATTTCTTTTACGAACTATAAACGAAAAAACACGGAGCAGTGCGTCTAGATTACTGGAAATGAAAACTATTTTTTTAAAATTTTTGTCCCTTTTCGGCCGGATGTTGCCAAATGGCAACATCATGCTATTGGACAGATATGAACATTTAAACTCCAATCAAAAGCTTTTTGGTATCCTTGTGTTAGAGCAATAAAAAATATATAGGAAATTTTTTTTTTGTTATCTTCCTTCTGGGGGCGGGCTGGAAAGGGTTAATTGAATTGGAAAAAATTGTCAAGACACATGAATTGAATCAAATTAAGTTAAAAAAGTTATTTTTTGACTTGAATTAAATTGAGCCAGAATTTTTTTCCAATGAATTGAATTGTTTATTTATCGAAGTGCGTTGCCTAGTTCCTCTTTAATAGTAGTACATTGTCGTAGTAACCTTGAAAAAGAAATATTCATCAAAGATATTACTCAAAGTCAAAACACAAAATTTAGCCTTCTTCCCATATGTGGAAAAACATGATGCAACAATTTTATCAATTACTTCGAATTTTTAAATTCTTCTCATTCTTAAACTGTTCAGATCTTTCAGTCGTTTTATAAATATTCGTTTGGATATGTTTTCATAAATGAAAACTCAATAATACCAAATCTAGAGACCATGAAGCTCGTGAAATCGATCCATATCTTCTAAACTATTCATTGTCGAATTTATCGGTTAGCTAAAAGCGAACTATCTTGGGGAGATGTGCTGATACTTTGTATTGTTAGGAAATCATTTTTTAGTAATCGTTTTATCTGTAAAATTAAACAAAAGAAGTTTTGGAGCATATTTTGTTAATCAATTGTTCAGGCATGGTGGTCAGTCATTTGATCATAAGAAAAAAACCTACCCAACAATGTGTTTGGTGGGTATGACACATCGCATAATTAGTTTTGGTGAATGCATTATGATTTCGCAGCGACACACAAATCCTTCTGAGTCCAAATATGGTAGTTGTGTTTAATATTCGATGTAGAAGGTGAGCATGTGCATAAGAGTTAATAAACGAAGTTGTCAGAGAAGGATCGCTGTATAACGTTTTTCTACATTTAGAAAAAAGGCTAAATTCTTATGTTTTAGCTAGGAGTGATACCTTTAAAGAATGCTTTTGAAGTTTGCTTGTATAAATAAAAACTTGATGTATACATCTATTATTTAAAAAAAAAGTTGTTAAAATTGAATTAAATAGTAAAGATATATGAAAAAAGTTTTAGGAAAAACTTAGTGGGATACCTAGTATTTATTAACAATGTCAGTTCAACTTCTTTGATTAAAAGTAACAAACTAGTGAGAATATAAGAAAAATTATTCAATCGTAAACATTTTACTTTCGCAATTAGTACGTAGAGAAGTCAATGAAAATACTTGCAGTATTATTCATGAAAGATGCGAATAACGAACGGAGTATCCAGTAAAAAGTCTAATACTCAAGATAGTTGTTGAAGAATGCGTACTAACATTCTGAACAAAAATGAGTCTCGATAACTTTTACGTATTCTTATTTTGTCACCAAAAACTTCTTCATGAAGTTTTATTGCGATTCAAGTCTTGAATTGTAGAAAAAATCACGATTGATCCAAAAGATCAGTCTCTTCTAATATAATCATTCGCATTTTTCAGAAATCGAGTAAAACTCACATCGGACGTTTGTACAAAGTTCACTCTTGAGTGAATTAGATAAGGTCTCATTTTGTAACCCTTTCTTTGAACTTTCAGAATCTATCAAAACTCCATATTGATATTTTTCTTTGTTGAAATGTTGGGAAAAAACCAAACAAAAGTAAATAGAAATCATAAGAGAACTATATTATTTTCCTACACATTTGCTTAGCAATACTTCAATCATTCTGGTTGCAGTATTAGTCAAAGATAGACTATGAGATGGATACTCGTTTGAGATAATCTTTAGTCCAAAAGGTCTTGTATGGGAAAAACATAAATGTCTGATTCTTTTGTGTATAAATCATGTATCTATAGTACAAAACGATGCAAAAGTGAATACTACAGTAGTATTTGAGACAAAAGTCCGTCTAAAATCTTTGAAAATAGCTTTATTTTATTACCAAAACGATTCCTTGCGAAATTGTGCGGCTGATAAACAATGAACCAACTAAAAATGACAATGGTTCAAAATCGATTTCTATGCGCTCCTGTCCTTTAATGCTACTCAGGTTGTATCAATTCGTAGATCTTTACAAAATGTTCAAATTAAATTAAATTCAACTTCGGTCTTTTTTTTTAAATTTTGCCAATTCAATTCGGCTCGTCATGAATTAAATTAAATTCAGTTATCTAGCTCTGAAATGAATATTGTAATTTAGTTAATATCCAAAGAATGCATAAACATTGAGTAAAACGACTAGCACAGGTTCCAGGAAAATGAATGCCATTTGAAAACTACAATAGCTAGAGAGGTGTGCCTTGTGTCATTTTTTAGAGGAGCCCTCAAGCTATCTTTTACATAATTTAGACCTATAAGGCTCTATCGAACTGTAAAAAACTGCGATGTATTCTTTGAAAGATTGACGCTGATGAAACCCTGAATCTGCAAGGATTTTTCAGTAGGTCTTTGTGTATATATATATAGAGTACTTATGTACCTACGTAATGGTGAAAACTGCAACTGTCTAGCTCTTTTCGTTCTTGAGTTATCCAAAAAAGTACCCACGGCCATTTAATTTTTAGACAGACAATAGATATTTGTTTACTATAGGCCGATAAATCTCTTCTTGGAGAAGTTGGACAAATATTTCGTGTATGTTCAATGAAGACAAACCTAAACAACAACGATTTGAATCAAGATAAAGAAACTCGCGAACAGGAAATAGCATGGGAAACAACAAAAGCATTTGCAATTGGTCACCATGTCAATGAACTAAATCAAAAATGAATTGATTTACGAAAACCTGAAGGTAATAAATAGCATGCATATGATACTTATTAAATTTATTGTTTTCCAGCAGAAGCAACTATGTCTTGGTACGATAATGAAACATCACCAATCAAAGTATCATCAGGTAAAATATCTTTTATTTCTTATGATTTTATGTTTTGATACATATTTATAGTAGCACCACCAGTCATTGATCCACCAATGAATCATTCAACAACACGTTCATCAGTATTCAAATGGGATACATTCAGAGTTTTATTAGATAATAAGTATGTTCTTTTTCCCATTTTTTTTATTGCTTCGTAATTTATTTTATTTCAAATTGTTTTTTATCTGTTTTAGTCTTATTCTTACAGAAAAAGGTATTGAAATGCTTAAAATTAATACAAATTTGACTGATAATCAAATTCGTGAATGGCATGCTGGTATTTTACGTGATTGGTAAATAAACATATTTTTTTTTGTTTCTTTTAGTATAGAGTATTTTTTTTATTTTAGTCCAAATGGTAAACTTTCAAAAACTAAATTTGTTGCAGGTTATGAACAATTATATCCAGGTGGTAAAGCAAACGAGTTTTGCAAAAATGTATTTGCAACATTTGATCGTGATAATACTGGAACAAGTAAAAATAAATTTAAATATTATTATTTTTAATTAAGTTTACTTTTCTTTTATTAAAGTCGAGTTTTATGAATTTATACTTGCCATTGGATTGACAAAATCAAATAATCTTGATTTGCGTTTTTCTTTAGCATTAGATATGCATAATTCCAATGATACTGAAACAAGTAAAGATTTTTCAATTTATTTTCTTTATCTTTAAAAAAAAGATTTTGATCTTCAGTGGATGTAAATGAATTGGCTAAAGCTATTTCTGTAAGTTTAATGATTAAATTTAATTAGAAATAATGTTTTTATTTTATTTATAAGACTCTGTATGATTTTATGAGTGTAATTGATCGTAAAAGTAAAATAATTTTAATAAAAAAAAAAAAAAGATTTTATTATATATAGATGATTATGATCCAAAACATCGTGTCGAAGAAATTATTCGTATGTGTGATGTTACTGGTAACAAGAAATTGACAAGAAAAGAAGTGAGTTTGATAAAAACGTAAAGTATTAAATTAAAAATATTTTTGTTTAGTTTCTTATTGGATGCCAAAAGGATCCCGTCATTCGTCGTTTACTTGTTCCTGATGCTTAATTTAATGATTATGGTTATATCAAATGAATATTCTATTAAAAAAAACTTTCTTTTTCTCTCAATTTTTAACATACATGTTATTTTGTGTTGTGATTACTTCTTTTTTTTCACTAACTTTTTTATTTTATCTGTAGTCTATATATGTTTTCTCTCACCAGATCCAAAACAACATAACTTTCGTATCGATTCGAAAATGGAAATCCAATTTGCAACACTTCTTTCTTTCTCATCTCAATATCATTCCGCTAGGCAATCATTATTCTACACATTCATTTGCATTCCATCCTGGCAGAGAAAGAAGATGATGATATCATTAGTGAGTGAGCGAGAATCAATATGATATTATCCAAACGGAAGAGAAATAGTTACAAACAGACAACTTTGACGTCTATGCTTTGAAAAATTCGTATCATTGGATGAGTATTCGGAAAATAAGAAGAGATGTTTCTCACCAATGGCTGTTGTGCACTGCGGGATTCTCTGTATAAATTGGAATGGAAATGATACGCTATGGCCGAAATATTTAATTTTTATAGATTCTCAAGCTGAAGGATCAATCTTTAAGAGAGTTGAGTTGATAGTCATAATACATCAGGAATCCTAAAAGATGAACGATCCATAAACTAGAAGTTTTCGTTCTGGGATAAACAGAAGGGTGTGAGTGTCAGTGTGGATGCGGATGAGCTGAAGCTCCTTCCAGCGCCACTGCTTGATACCCATCCACACAACCACACCCATATTTTTCTTCTCATCGTGGCAATAAAGTGATTGTAAAAGATTTCAAATATTTTAGCATTCATCATAAAGATGTATCTCTAATCTAATTCGGATTTATTTCATAATAAATCATAGATTTTCGCTTTGTTTTTCATATTCTTTTTTTATTTAAAATTACTAATTTAGACAAAAATTAGTTCGACATTATAGAAACACAGATTCCATGTCCTCCGAATATTTCTTTATATTGACATATACAATGAAAAACTATATTTACAATAAAGGAAAATACAGATGAAAATCTTTAGGACGAACATATAATTCTTCTATAACAAGACGTCTTATTTGAGAACAATTGCGACGTGCTAAATCATTGGTAAAATTGTTTGTAACCATTGCTAATGTTTCATAACCAATATAAAGTTCCAGAAAACGAGGTAAACGAGTATTTTTTTCAAAGAGAAATTGTTCAGCATAATCAACACACGCAAGCGTAATATCCAGTTCTTCAAGATGTGGAAATATGATAAATGTAGATGAATGTTGCTTATTTTTTTGTGTAAAGGAATTGACCAAAGTTAAGCTTCGGAGAAAAGGAAAATGTTGAGATACCCTTTTAAATAATTCATGTTCAAATGGATATGAATCAATCATTGTCATTGATCGAACTGTATCGAATACACCACCTTGAAAATCAGTGCACATCAGAAAATAAGTTTCGAATTGATATGGAAGCGAAAAAATATGACATTGACCACCCATCCTAGCTAATCTATTATGAACATATGAACCAACATGTCGATTTCCTTTTTCGATGAAACTACGCTGAATATCATCATTCGATAGAAACACAATATTAGTATCAATGTTTAAGACGTTAGTATTAATACTGAAAGTAAATTTGTGAAGTTGTGGCATAAAAGCAAGAACATCGTTATATAAATGGGTACCATCAATGTAAGTCGAATCGTCTCTTATTACATTGAGAAATAATGTTAAATCTTCGATATTTACCATTCGACAAAGTAATGGAACAACTTGATTGTCATAAAAAGATGTCAAACGATGCGAAGTTAATGGAAACTGTTTCAGTTTGAGAAGTTTCGTCTATAAAAATAGAAAAGATAATTAGAATCTTGTTTTTTTTTCTAACACACAATGATTGAACTCATAATTACCGTGCTATCTATGTTTGATGATGGATAGGTGATTATTTTTATATCAATAATCAATGCAGCTAAAGATTCAAGACTTCCATCGAGAAGATAAAGACAATCATCAAGTCTAGTTACATTAATGATTAGTTTAGTTAAAGTTGAAGATGTAGGACTTGATGATAGATCAAAAGTTGGATTTCTTAGATGTTCAGATGAGAATTGATGATAAAACGTCAGATCAGTTAAATGTTTGCCCAAAGATAATATCAATAAGAATATATTTGATTGATTTTTATCAAAAAGAATATCGACTTTAAGATGTGCGATTTGATTAGTTAATAAACCAGAAACAGTTGTTTCTCCTACAAAATAGAAATCAAAAAAGACGATCATCAACTTATGTAGAAGAATTTCAATGTTCTAATGATCAAATCGAACAAAAGTAAACATTACCTGTTAAATGTCCTAATAATTTTTGTTGTTCAAAATTGACAAGTGATAAAGATTGAAGTTGAAGATAATCAATATTAACAATGCATTCTATTGAACATGATGGAACAGTAAATTTGTGTATATGATGATGAATTCTTGGTAAGATTTTTTTACAAATTGTATCAATCTCTTGATTATCTAATGGAGAAGTTCGTTGAAGCAATGAACATTTAACAGTCAAATCACGAGTATGAATATAAAAAGGATCAAGTGTTAATCGATTAAATCGTTTATTAACGTCGACTAATGAATAGAGTACATCAATCATATTCAACTTATTGAAAATCGCAAGTAACATTTCATCAGGTAAATCGAGTACATTAGTATTGTAGTTATTTGAAGTTTCCATGTCTAATAATGATGATTATTTATTACACACTCTGTCTCGCTATATATGTCTTTGTTTGCTCATTGTCGTCTGCGAGAACAATGCGAGATATACAGGGGCGGCGGAGCGTCATTAAGCTAGGTGAGGCTCATCATATTTTTTTTGCTACCGTGGCATTTTATGAAACATCAAGTAGTACCCATGTCGCACAAACCGATCGAAAAACGTCGGTTAACCGCGGTCAATTTTTATAAAAATTGGTTAACCGCGGTTATTTAAGCCATTTTAGCGACTTTACAGCGTAAAAACCAACGGTTAACCGCGGTTAACCGTTGATTTTTACGCTGTAAAGTCACTGAAATGGCTTAAATAACCGCGGTTAACCGATTTTTATAAAAATTGACCGCGGTTAACCGACGGTTTTCGATCGGTTTGTGCGACATGGGTAAATAAGTCTTCTTTTTATTGAACCTCAGTAAAAATAAAAATGGTCAGTATAAAAAAAGAAGATTGGAAAATACCGAAAACTAGTTTTCTTTGCTTCTACTCTGATGCAAGAACAAGAAAATAGCAATATTCAGTACAAAAGCAAGTGAGGCTGAGCCTCATCTACTGAAAACTAGGTGAGGCTCAAGCCTCACCTGTCTCAGTGGCTCCGCCGCCACTGGAGATATATGTTGATGCCATGATACTAGACAATAATGAACAAATAATACTTATTTTTCTTCCTGTCTGAAATTTTTTTTCTCATTCATTTTTTCTCAGGTCATTAGGTCAACATACTTTTCGCGCAACGTTTATCATATAGTGAGTTATTTGTAATTTGTTAGATTATGTTTAGAGAAGAGGGTGTGAGTAGGTGTGAATGAAGATACTATCAATGCCCACACCGACACCCACATCCACAACCTCAAGATTTTCGAATTATGAATAGTTATTCAGATGTCAATTTATATTCGAAGTCGAACTAGTCATCTCATGCAACCTTAGATAATATTTTGGTTATTTCCGCCCATTGTCAATGATGAAGTAGTTTGAAAAATATGATAGTAGACGATAAGGCACTTTTTCTCACCGTTTCATCGCAAAAATTGCTTGTTTCGGGCTTGAAGCTATCATTTGTTCTCGCCATTATCTAACATAAATCATATCAATCGATAGGATATATGCATAAGCCAACAAAAAAATGGCCTCTTATAGAATCCTCAGAATTTTACACTCAGGATCGTTATAACGTCCCCTACAGTTTTCTAAAGATTATTAATAAGAATCTGCAAGTTATTTCATCGACTACTTCCGATAGAAAGATTTTTCCTCTGTTCGTTCTCAAGAATTACTTTCGCATTGAAGTCCTTTAACTTTTCTTAAGCATCTTTTTGAGAATCTTCTGCAATTTTTTAAAAAGTTTGGATGGATTGAATTGCTCTTACCCGAAATCAAATGATATCAGCAATGTATTCTGTTACTAATAGACTTCACCATATTATCTAAGACTATTGGAGTTCTTTTCACATCCCCATGTCTCCGTCCTAACACTACCGTGAGACAGAGGATGACGTGATCAAGATCTTCAGTTATGCTTTTGTTTCGCTTCTTGCAGCTATGTGTAATATACCTACTAATGCAGGTGTGGGTACTGAGCGGAATAACTGTTGCTGGCGGCAACGTGAAAGGCAATGTAACTAACCAACTCTGTGGCTCTCATGATATCTTCTTTGATGATGATCAAACAGTAGTCATTGCTCATACATGGCATCATCGTATCATTTAATAGAAGAAAGGTGATACGAATGAAAAAGTCGTTGCTAGTAATGATAGCAAAGGAAATCGATTGGATGAATTGAATTTATCAACTGATGCATTGATCGTCAAAAGAACTTCTAGTCTTGTTATTTGTGATCGATGAAATCGACGAATTCTACAGTTGTCTCGTCTTAGTGGTACACCAAGAGGCGAAATCCTCATCGATAACATCGACTGTTTTGAAGTAGTCATGGATTATCAGGGATATCTCTACGTCTGTGATCACAAAAAATATGATGTAAGACAACGCCAAATGAGAGACAAGAATGGCAGGTTCGTGGCTGGTGATAATGGCAAAATTACTGGTCTCCATCAGCTCAGCACGCCCTACTATTTCTTTGTCGATCGACAACAGAATTGTCTATGTGTCAGACAACGGGAATTGCCGTGTGATGACACGGAAAAAAGGTGCAAAAAAGGGCACTGTAGTCGCTGGAGGTCAAGGGCCAGGGAATGCTCTGACACAATTAAATTACCTTCATGAACTCTTCATCGATATGTTGGGTACTCTCTATGTGATGGACACAATGAATGATCGTGTCATGCGGTGGCCTCAATGAGCAAAAGAAGGCACTGCAATTGGTAGTGGAAATGATCGCGGAGCAGGAGCAAATCACCTCTGCTACTTCATTGGTTTGTCTTTCGATCAACATGGCAATCTCTAAGCTCTATGTCATCGAGTTTGAAAATCATCGTGTTCAACGATTTTTTGTCGAATAGTCTTGTGAATTCTTTTTTCTGGTTGTTACGAATAAATTGAATTGATTGAAAACGACATTTGTCTTCCCTGCCATTTGCTTTACTGTTCACATCCACACCTTTATTTGCAATCATAGGCGTGATATATCAATACATAGATCACAAGTTACAATAATAACCCAGGAGATTCATTCCGACCAACGCATCTTCCAAGAAACGATCGGATCCGGTATCGGATCACATCGGAATCCGACGAGTTCCACAGTAAAACCGACCGGAACCGATCCGTATTACTCCGGATTCCTAACTAACGGATTCCGGCCAGGATTACGCCAGAAAATGGCCCGATCGGTTCCTGTCGAAATCGATGATCGGAACTTTCAGGAAATGATGGGATCCGATCATAGACAAACGCCGGAACAGAAAGACTTCCTGCGACATTCCACCGGATTCCGTCGGATTCCTATGCAGCTCAACCAAGATTCATCGGATTATATAGAGATTTCATTCTCCCAAACACCTCTTTGATCACCAATGCATCCACGACAGATTTTCCCGGATTATAAAAGCATCCACTATCGGGTTTTCCGGATTACTAAGTCATTCTCATTATATATAATAATGCTTTATTTAATAAATGAAGTGTGTGGCAGATCCTCACGCTTGTTTGCCATGGACAACCTCGTCCCTGTGACAGAAAAAAAGAAAACCATATATATTTTACTCGTACAATAGCATGACACATAGATGAATTTGAGTTAACCCACAATAGGAAAAACTACAGTAAAAAGTGATTTATGTTGATTTGCACGGCAACATGAAAGTGAGATTTTAGAGTACAAAAAAAAAGAACCAAATAACAAATACATAAAGATGATTCTTAATCAAACCCGTACAAGAGTAAAAAGAGAGAAGATAAAGATAGATTTTAGTAATATAATGATGACAATGTTGGGGTTAGAAGCAGAACACATAATCGAACAAAGAACTTTTTTGAACAGTGAACAAATTAAAAATCTTTTTACTTGTTCGTCCTTTATGAACGATTGATCTTTTTTCTTTCAATAGTATAGGATTATTATAGTACTCGTAAATGTATAGCAAGTACATTTTGTGTTGAATATATTCACATAGTACTGCTGGATTTATTCTGAGAATAGTCAGAAGAATTTTGTTCCAGTGTACTTGTGTAAGCTTATTTATAGATTTATATTTAGGAAGATTCGAAATTTCATCATTCGTTGCATCATACCAATGATGTATTGTTCTAAACATTTTCCTATTTATGGCCTCAAGATGATTTTGTTTTGTTCTTGATATAATTGGATAAATGTTTAGGATCGATTGATAATAAGGTCTTATATATGCATTATACAATCGATATGCCGTATCTTCAGTTAATACTCTACCTGATGAAAGATATTTGAGTATTGAAGAATTTTTTCGAATTTTTGATTCCACAAAGCTAAGGTGAGAGGTGAAAGAAAGTTTACAATCGAGAATAGTACCAAGGTATTTCATTTTTTTGCATGAAGTGATTCTATGTCCATCACAATCAATATAAGGCGGTATGATAGGGGCAATTTGCCGATGGAATAGCATCCAAAACGTTTTTTGGAAATTTATTGGTTGTTTCCACATTGAAGAGTAAGACATTAGTGAGGTAACCACATGCTTAATTTGCTGAATCAGATTAGGTATTAGTGTTTTGGAAGACCAATTGGCAGAAGAGCATATCAATATAGCCAGATCATCAGCGAATAAGTGTTTCCAATGCAACATGGATATACTGTTCAAAATGTCATAATGATGTACTATAAAGATAACTGGTCCTATGCATGATCCTTGAGGTACTCCTTTATGTAGGCAAAAAGTACTGGAAATTGTTCCATTCATGTCTATGTATGCTGATCTTTCACATAGATAGTTTCGCAACCACGCTATTAGGTATATAGGACAATTTAATCGATGTAGCTTCAAGACTAAACCACTGAACCACAGCTGGTTAAAAGCTGATTTAAAGTCAACAAAAATACCAGCTGTGGCTGTATTTACTGATAGGCTTTGTCCGATTTGATCCACTATTGACACCAACCTGACCGCCATATTGTGTCCTGGGCGAAAGCCAGATTGTTCATCTGGAAGAATACCATTGTCATTTACCCATTGATAGAAATATCTAAGAAAAACTTTTTCATATAACTTTGAGAAACAAGGTAAAAGCGAAATAGGACGTGTATCGTTTATGTTGATGATATTTGTTTTTGTTTTTGATAGAAGAATCATTTTAGCAGTTTTCCAATGAGATGGCATACACAAGTGAGACATGAAATAGTTGAATGAGGAGCAAATGAATGAATAGTGTGATGCTGGTAACAACTTGATCATCTTGTTAGACACTCCGTCGATGCCAGATGAACTTTTGTTTTTCAATGACAAAATCGTTTTTCTGATCTCATTGATTTTAATGCTGGGAGCGGTCGGATTTGATTGCTTTATCTCATTCTCAAGTTGTTTGTCAATATATTCAGCTTCGACTTCAATTGGACAAGATGTTTTAAGATGTTTGGAAAATTGTTCTTCATAAAATGATCTACTGATTTCACACATTTCATTTGGCGAGCTAATAACTTTTCCGTCTGACAATAAAAAACCATTCAGTGGTGGATTAGTTTCTGAGAAATGCCGACGTGCTTTTTTCCAGAACTGTTTGACATCTCCCTCATTTAGTGTAGTGCAATATTCCCGCCAAGATAGTCGTTTGTGAGCAAAAATTTCCTTTCGAATTATTGTTGAATATGTTCTTAGTTGTGTAATAAAAAAGGGATGTTTTGTTTTTCTTACGAGTCGTAGTAATGTTTTCTTTTGATGAATTAACTTGATAATATGTGGAGGAAGTGATGGTTTATATGCTTTGCAAAAGTATACATACGTCAGTCTAAATACCAACAATGATAAGAAGCGTTCATAACTACTAAAGAACTGCAAAGAATCGTCAGTTTTGGAATGTTGATTGTTCCAATAAGAAAAAGTAAATGTTAAGAATAGTTTCACTAGTGTCCAATATGTACGTTTTACAGGATAAAGACAGTCCCTTTTTTGTAATTTAGCTGCTGGAGTCCAAATAATAGGAAAGTGATCATTACCGATACATGGAAGTACGCTATATGAGGATGTTGATGGTATCATGTGTGCAGGAGCTAATATTAGATCAATAGTTGCGTTTGAACGAGTTGATGTTGCTACGTGCTTGTTGACAATCTCCAAATCATTTGTTGATAACCAATTGAAAAAAACTCTGCCCTTTTGGTTTTCAATGGAGTCGGACCAAGATTGATGTTTGGCGTTGAAATCACCAAGTAGTATTGTATTTGTACTTCTTTCAAGAATTTTATCAAACAGATTTATAGGTAGCTTTTCATTCGGTGGTGAATAGCAAGTGGCTAGTTGAAACTTGTCGGTAGTTGTTCCTACGTCAAGAACAACAATATTTGATTGATTTTGAAATATATCAACTCTTTGAACCGGAATAGAACGATGTATTGCTATCAAAACACCTCCAAAGTTGTTTGAGCCTGCTTCCCAATAAACATTGTAGTTGCTAAAGTGTCGTGAAAAGAGTTTGACAGTATCGTTATGATGATGAGTACCATTGAATACTACAATGGGACAAGGCGTACTTTCCAATAAAAGGAAAATATCCGGTAAATAGTGTTTTAAACTGCTGACGTTCAATAACATTATCTTCAATTCACTTTTTGCATTCAACATTTTCGATGTTATTTTCTTTCTGTCCTCCCAGTTTGCTAGTAGTGTATTCAGTGTTGGTGTAGTTGTCCATTCTAAAATAAGCTCTTGAAATATTTGTGCTTGTTTACGTGATAGAGTTTCCGTTGATATATGAAATGATTCTGTACGATGATTTGGAATAAATTCTTTAGAATTCGGATTCATTATTTGTATGAGTAGTAATGTCATTTGATGGAGCTGTCGTATTGGTTGTGTTTTGTTGTTGTTGTTGTTGTAATACTGTGTTTATTTGCGCTAAGTTTACTAGCGATTGATTTAAGTCTTTTTGATTAAGGTAATCTACCAACTTATTATATGGAGAATCAATTTGTCGTTTTTGATGTGAGTTACTCTGTGCATATATTATTTGTGTTACTTCTTTTAACAATGGACATATGACTTCATGAAGAGTTCGATTGATTTTAATAATTTCATTTGCTTGGCAATTTAATTGTGTAGTTTGTTCTTTTATATGTCTATTCAATTCTACTTGTTGTTGTAGTACACTTTGTATATTTGAATGCATTGTGTCCAACAGCTGTAGTGGAAAATCGTTTTTATTGATATTATTGTTTACTTGTTTGGACGTTGCTGATGCATTTCCAAAAAGATGTTGTGCACTATTTCCTGTCCACTTATTTGAATTTACTAAGTAGGATGATGGTAACGTTAGTGGTTTAGCTTGATATTTCTTTAACTCACGAGTTTCAATTTTCTTCGGACAATTAGGATTGCCAGCAAGGTGATCCCCTTTACAGTGCACGCAGCAAATTTTATTTTGACATTCTGGATTATATTGATGTTGTTCACCACATTTGAAACATATTGGTTTGTCTTTATTAGGACAGTGTGCTGCTATGTGATCATCATATTGTTGACAGATATAGCACCTGAGTATACGAGGAGGTGCTACATACGGTTCGATTGGATAAGATGTATTTTCATCGTCAAGCAACATTCGTTTACTTTGTAATATTTTCAAAAGTTCCTTGTTTGAAGAGAAGTCTATTCGAATTTTAGGAATGGGGCGTGCGCCCCGAACATATAGACGTTCACCCTTAATAATAGTTTTATATTGTAATTTTAGTTCGTCACAAAAATTTGATACATCCCATTGTGTAGGAACATTCAGCATCACAATAGAATATGATGACGGAATTCTAGTTGGTGAATCAAACGTGTAATCACAGTCGCAAATCTTGTCGGGCCAGTTCGATTTATCTAGAAAGTATTCGAATTGAGCTGATGTATTGCAATAGAGTAGATAACATTTGTTGGTTTTCGATGAGGACATGCGACCATATGTAAGGTTCAATTTACATTTTTTATTTAGTTCTTTGATTATTACGACATCTTGTGGTGGATATTGATCATCCTTTATAATAATACGAAATGGTGGAAAAAATTCACGTGTATGATGTTTTCTACTCGTTGATTCATAAATTTGTTTACGTATTGATGATTCACCACTTTTCTTATTCAATGTATGATTGCTATTAAAATACGATAATGTTGTTTCTGTTCCTTGGGTGGTTTACTTTTCTCTAGTACTGCCCTTGGATTGATCCGTAAGCCTACGTTTTGGAGAATATATAGAATTCGTGGTATGCTCCTGATCATTTATGTCATTTCTTCTTTTTCGATTTTTACGAGATACATATTGATAGTCATTAAAGTCTTGTTCTTTGTTCTCTGCATTTCCATGTTCTATCTGAAAATTTCCATCAGGATCTTTTTGATTTCCATAATTATAATCGATATTCATTTCGTCCTCCCCTTGTGTACCCATATGTGTAGACAAAAAGAAGGCAATCACAGGGGTGTGTGAATATCCGAGCAATGAAAAAAAAAAAGAAGAATGTATATATAAAGTACGTCTTACCAGTAGATGATGAAGGTGATGAATGGCACACACAAGTAGTGTCTACTATTTACGATCTGAAATGTTCATCTGAATTTGGTTATCATTTAAAGCTTTTTTTTTGTATTGCCAAACGTTAGAATAGGTTTTGAACATCAAATTATGTAGAAATTTGTGGTTTCATTATTATAATTTTGATGACATCTAGATAGATAAATTCATAGGAAAATTTTCAACTAAAAAAATATGATTCATACATTTAGTTTTAATTGATTCTTTTGTTTGTTCTTTTTGATTTCATCTCTACACTGAAATTTTATGTGATTATGCGGAAGATAAAAAGCGTGTAGCTATTGAATCCAATTATAAATTTTTACAGATGATTGATTCAATACTATAATCGTATAGCATCAGAAAATCACAACAAATTAACTTCAAAATAAGAATTTTTCAAAGTTTGATGACTTTAACATTTGCTTCAAAGCCAATCACTATTAACTAGATGAGAAATTTGCTGGAAATAGGCTCGTGGAACTTCGTTTCCTCCGATCAGTTTTACGATAGTTTCATTATCAAATATATGCATCGGTTTTAAACTACTTACTAATTCCACTAGATGTCTTTCTGTAACGGATTACAGCAATCTTACGTGTTTTTTTTTCTGTATAGATTTGTGTGAGAAACGCGAATAGACGCAGCAGCTTTCTTGAAGATTTTTTCGGATAATTTTTATCGTTTATGAACATAAAATAGATAAAAATGTGCGCGCATGCGTGATGTTATGATTAAGGGGTAGAGTTCGGTGAGAGAGAATTTTAAGAGAAAACATTTATACCCACACTATTGATGAGATATGCCTTTGCGATCTAGTAATGTACAATTCCTTCAAAATATTTATCATTAGTAATAGATTGAATATGATATTAAAATGAGAAAAAAGATGAACGATCCTAAATGTCACATAACATTTGGGATAGAAAATTCTTTTTTCTTATAAATCTTTGATAAATATAAAAGTATCTTTTAGACGCAAAAATAGATAATCATGAATATTTATTAGAAAATTTATTTTGTTAGCACAAATTGATCAGCAATGCTATCGTCACTATCATGATAATATGTAAAATGTAAATACGTTTGATTGGCAAATATTGTTGTATATCCAAATTGTTGATCATGATATTGACTCCATGGCACACTCGAATAAACGCCGGTATCCAAGTTTTGACCAGCCATACCAATTAATACATGCGTTATACCATCTGCTACACATTTCTTTTGATACATTGGACATGATCGTTCGTATGAATGTCGGTGTGCAAAAAGATTGACGTCGACACGATATTGATAGAATAATGGTTCTAGGTACAATTGTAGCATCATTGTTATTTCATGTTCTTCAATCGATTCTAATTCTGATGTATACATTTGTCGATGTGAACCAACAATGAGCCATGGGGTACGAGAACGGTTAACTAAACGAAGATCTTGTTCAATCCATGCATATTGTGGTGATGATCGACGGAAATCATGTTCAGTTGAATAGTAAACTACATGTACTGCACCAACATCAAAACTATACCAAAATAGACTATTACCATTCGATGGTGAATGAAATCGATGAACCATAGGAACAGCACATTCACCACCTGAATCAGTACCATAGTCACCCCTAAAAAGCAATCATTATCGAAATAAGTCGATCAATAAAAGGATGATGTATGTTGATTTATACAATAAATAATGATAGCAGAATGTGTAATAGTTGTTTTTTCTATTTTCGAAAACTAACTTACCATCCTGGTCGAAATCCTCCTGGACCAGGAGCACCACTTGGATCTTTATTGCCTCCTGTAACATGATCATATTCATGATTACCAATACCAACCATATAAGGTACACGAGCTGCTATTGGCTGTATTTGAGTCATAAATGCATCCCATAGAGCACCAATACCACGAGCATAACTAATATCACCAATATGTAATAAACAAGTAATGTTTTTTGATAAGACTTGTGTTGTTACTCGAGCAACAGTTGACTTTGCACCGGGTTCCACTGGTGATAAACCCATATCACCGAAAGCGATTAATGTTACACCTTGATTTTTATCTGCCGGACGATTTGTAAACGAATAGACGGCTGACCAACCAAGTTCATCGTTACCAACTCGATAGTAATAGATTGTTCCTGGTTGGAGATCTTCTAGTAAAATTGTATGCATGTATCCTGGATCGATGAATGTTTGTGGGCCCGATATATTTGCTTTTCCTTCACACATGTCCGATGCTGTATATGTTGTTGTTGTTCCATTTTGATGAAATTCCAATGATAATGGATTTAATCCATATTGACATTGCGGAGTATATTGTGACGAATTAGTTAAATAGGAAACAAATATTTGATCGAGTCGATCACCATAAGCTAAATGAATTTGTGTAGGTTCATTATAATTAAGGGGTTCTATTAAGACTGATTGAGCTACTAATGAATAATTGCCTGAACAAGCATGATCACGTGAATAATAACGAAATTGAAGTGGACGCCGTAGATTAATCATCTGCCATGAAATACTGTTGGTTTTTTCAGATTTAGTAAATTCATAATCAAAATAATCACAAGCTAATACAAAGAAGAAGAAAACTCATTATTAGCCGTAAATAATAAGGACGATAGAAAAAGGAATTTGTTCTCCAGAGGACAAGTGAAAAACAAAGCTAAAGTTTATTCAAGATTGATGAAATTCATTATATATCTATGTCTTACAATTAGTTGACTTATGACCAAATAGATCAACAATTTTCTTACGTACTATGATGTACAAGTAAATATTTGGTTATTATTCAGTTAAAACCAGTTTAATAGAATTGCACACTGGAAAAGCTCGGACATCAAATGCTCACAGTCCAATAGCAATGTTGTTGTTTTATACGATAATAAGATTTCATATTTTACTGAACTCAAGAATGTTTATTGGAGTACTGTTTCGATTCTGATGATAATTATTATTTTATTTTTACTTTTAAACTTTAATTATCCTCAGTGTCAATCCAATTCATTGATATTGACATTTTTGGTTTGCTTGGTTTTTTGATTTTCGTTTCCAGGATAAACATATCCGTGCTAAGCGTAGCATTTTATAATGTAACAATCATCATTATGTTTTCTTGAGTTCTAATCAAGAAAATTCATTTTTCGTTAATTTGTTACGTATGATAAAGTGCATATATTACTAGAATTATAGATCTAAGTGTCGACAAATTCAAGTTCTTATTCAATTGGGAAGACTTGAAACTATCCTGTGAGCTTAATAAATACTATACTGAGCAATCGAGTGACAATGTTTTTCGATTAGCAAATATTTTGGAAGCATAACTAATGTCATTGATTGGAATCGGATTTAAAATTCTACTCGACGTGAGACATAGAAGAATTCTAGCTGATTTGTCAAAATAAAATGAAAAATTAATTGGAAACACTATGTGAATTTCGAAAAATCTTTTAAATAAAAGCCTTTTCATTGTATGTCTGCAAAAGAAGCATTAATTGAATTATTTTCACACGCAGATGGATTTGAAAAATAAAACAACTACGATTTTTACCTTTATCAAGAGGAATTTCACCAGAATAAATACCAATAAAATCATCAATACAGGGAGCTGTCATGGGTGTCCAAGTTACATTGACCTGCTCATTGCTAACATAGACTGTAGTTGATACATTTAAAGTCGTTACAGTCGTAAGTGTTGAGAAAGCCGAAGATAGAATTAAGCCGGAACCTCGATTACAAGAATGTGGGCTTGGTTCATCATGTACTGAATGGCGTTTCCCAAACGGACCATTGCTATTTAAATGTTGGTCTGCTACGACGAAAATAGCAAACGAAGAAAGATAAACGACTAGATATTTCATTGATCAAGTCAAACTACCAGCGCTTATTCTTATGTTACTTCTTTTTATAAACTAAGCAATAACAAGACAAAAAACAAGGAGATATGATATCTTTTCAGAGCCTTCACGTCTATAATGTTCTACAAGAGACTACATTTTGATTTCACTGCGAACATTCTAGATGGTTGACAAGAGTACGAAAACTTCGTATATGAAATATGCGTAGATTTCTGAGCCTTAATTTATTTTTATCAAAAGAAAAATTCACAAAAACTCTGTAATACTTAGTGATGAAAAGATAAATAAATTTAAGTTCAATTCAATACATGGAGAAAATAAGGATGTGTCCAGTTGTGTACAATTTTTTCTCAATGAAATTCATAAATCTATGAAGACTCACGATTAGGAAACCTAAAACCTGGTTCGAAACCAAGAATATTTTTATTGAAGTCGAAATCTTGCGTGACTGTTTGAATTGTTGCAGAAAAGAACTATATCTCATTTGTAAGTATCATCACTCAAAACAAAGGTCTGAATGTAGTTGATCGACGAAAAGATTCTACCTTTGCTTCACCTATAAATCCAGTCGGTTAACCATTGCGATTATTGATCATAAATAAGCTCATCATCGTATCTAATCCTCTTTCGTCTCAGAGTGAGATTTGAGTCAATAGACAGTCTATGCATTGGCTCTGCTACACACATATACTTTAGTTCCAGTCAGGCAATCCACATGCTTCTTTTTATTAAGGTGATACTTAAGAAACGCTGTGCAAAAGAAAAGATATGAGGCAAAACAAAAATAATAAATGAAGCATATGAATTCCAACTGGATTACGATTACTCACTTACTAAATCATTCGAAACGAACACATCGCCCATCTACTAAGGACTATATAGGTATTGATAGAGGATGCGAATACCGCGACAGAGCTGATACAAGAACTAAAACATATATGACATGGGACCTAGTAGTTCCTGGTCTGTTTTGATTTATCTAAAATTGGAAAATACCTTGCGCACAATAATAATCACCGTAATGTGTCGATTTTTCGTCGGCTGTAATTTATAGGGAGTATTTAATGGCAGAAACACTTAGACGACTACTATGAAGTTTCAGTTAAAGAGTATAAACAAATTGGAATTATTTTATAATTTATTTTCGTCATGTAATCAAAAATTAGGTTTTTGTGACCCTGGAACCAATCTAGGGACAAAAAGTCAATTGGAAATCAAATCATTCAGTTACTAATAGATCGTATGCTAACAATTCAAAAATATATCAAAACATGTATCACTGATTAAACAAAAATTGAAACAACAATTATGAGACATTTTTCTTTTTAACTTTTGTGATTGATTGAAAAATTCAAAAGATTTACCCATCGTTTGAATAGTTACATATTGTATTGTTTAACGTTTCGCTTGGATTTATTTCAATAAAATCCCTATGGCGTAAACTATCGTGTTCACGATCGTTCTTTTAATAGCTTAACTTAAGTTACCTATAAGTCAGATAAGATAAAACTAGATTAAAATAATCATTACATTACGACTGCATTTCAAGAATTTTCTGAAATTACTAAGATAGAAACTCAAGAAATTTTGTGTCAAAATGTACTTGCACATTTATATCAGAGAATTTTATGAAAGCGATTTGAGAATATATATACTAACCAATATTGAAAAGAATGATTTCGCTCAATCGAATAGTCAATAAAACTAATGTATTGAAATCTCTTTGTATGAAAATCGAATGAAACTCATGTAAATCACGGAAGGTTTTTCAGCGCTATTGCTACTTATCTTTTCTAAAATTCTTTATCGACAATTTAATCTATCTCAAATAAAATGATGCATTTTTTTTATCTAGCATGAACTTGCGATGAACGTATATGGTCTATTTCATGATTATAAATCTTGATCGAATAGAAAACAATTATATTTTTACGGAGATAATTCAAAATGCATGCGTTTGAAATTAATTTTCAAATAAAACTCACAAAGAGAAATACCTGCCAAAGTATTAATAAATGGACTATTCCAAGAAAAATTTAAGGATGAATCATAATAATAGAGCAAAATGAAATGAAAAATAATCTTTATTTTGTTCAAAGAAACAAAACACAAAATGTGTTTCTGCATAAGTTTTATAATACAAATAGAAAAAAAAACAACGTTTTTGATATATCTTGTTTATCGTACCTTTTGAGTTTGAACACTACTACTATTTACTGTATTGGCTGGATTACTTTGTAATTGCATGTTAAGATCGTCATCATCGTCGTCATCTTCAGTCCATAAATCATGAAATTTCGTTTTTTCTTGTTGAATGGCAGGTCTTCTAACAGTAAAATCTATTCGACTGTTATCTATTTCATCTGTTTCTATTAGATTTTTATCGAAAATCTTAGTAAGATCGGGTGCACTTGCAGTCAACTTTTCGGTAGTAGCTTTAAATTGTGCATTGATAATTTCAATTTGCGTATTACTTAATTTGTTTTGAGTTGAATTCATCGTTGATGATGGAGATAAAACATGTTTTTTATTTTCAAGGTATTGAGCAAGTGAAAGAACTTTACGTTTTTTATTGTCGTCAGACGATTGAGATTCACTACCAAGCAAAAAATAAAATTTTAGTCATTGAATGAATAAGTATTTCAAACTTTATTTCATCAGAATTTCTTCTATTATCAGTAGAATTATTTTCAACAATTGCTAAATTTGCATTTATTGCAGGTTTTACTTTGGTAGATTTAGGTAATAGCTTTTTATGATACCATCTTTTTAATACCGATTTTGCTAAACCATTGTATTTAGCTGTTTTATTTGATGCAAAATGACGAATGAGTTTATCGATTTTTGTTTCCTATGAAAAAAAAGTCAATGGATAAATTGATTGAAAATTCTTATTTATTATTACTTGAATTATGGCAGCAGTAATGGATATTTTATACAACTTACGAAGATATTCCTTAACCTAAAGGAAATATATGAAATAAAATACCATTTTAAAAAGAAAAATATCTACTTTTTCGTGTTCTTTTAAAGCAGTGTACTTTTTAAGTTTCCTTTTAATTGTCTCAATTGTAGTGACAGTAGCTGTTTCATCACTCATTTTTTTTTCAATTCAGTCTGAAGAAAGCTCGAAAAGAAAACATGTAAATTTTCTCTCAGCAGTCAAATATGAATTATGTGAATAAGTGAGTTTTTGAGTTTCAATAGATTTAAATAGAAAAAAAAACGATTAATACAAATGTATGTATATATATATATAGTACAGTGATGATGAATAGGATTCGTTTGTACTGTAACAAATGATGTAACAGAAAGAGAAAAAAACTGTATTCTTCAAGATGTCGTTACTTGCCGAATGAATTTTCTTTCAATGTTCGCGATTTTATCTCATTACCCAGGTCGAACAGTCCTGCCAGGAAACGGCCGGTTCTGGGTAGTCCCGTTGATTTTACGGAAGCAGTATTCCGGTTGGAAAGTTTTCGAACTTTTTCCGGTGATTTCCGATCAATTCTTACCGGACAACACCGGAACTTGGCAGGAATCCGCCGAAAAAGTCCGGTCGTATTTTTGACCGCAATACTGCTTCCATGTTCCAGCGATTTCCGTGTTTTCCTGCAGAATACAGTGACTCTCTCGCATGTTTTCCCGGAGTATCCTACGAAATCCGGTGGCCGGAATGTTCGACCTGGGCATGAATTTATATTACATGATTTCTAGATATATTGATGACGGTTTTAATAAATTGAATGATATTTTGATTAAATGAATATATAAGAAATAGATATGGTGAAAAAGTATAGTAAACCAAACAGTATTTTCATCTAAACAGAATTGTTCTATTGAAAATATGAAGCAAGTCATCGTGTGATTCATTTAAAAAGTATTTCGATGTGTATAATTTTCGACATATAAAAGTAACATGCCGAGAAACCAATGAATAAAAATAATAGATGATTGCTGCATTTCATTAAGACATTACTCTGAAATTATTTTCTTCAGTCATCATCCTTCGAATATAAGAAATAAATTTTGTTGATATACGATTGTTCTGATCACTAATAAAAATGAAGAATCATCGATTCAAATTCAATCCGAAATTATTGACTTTTTGATAAACTTTTTGAAATGTCATTTCGTGTTTCTCAATAGCTTCATATCAATATAAAGTGCTTTTGTTTCCAACGCTATCAAAGGATAAGATTTCATCACAATTTCATGTAGAGTCGATAGTACTAAAATTTAGATATAGTATACGAGTGTATTTATGATACCTGACCGAAGTACTATTTTGTGAATTCAAACTTTTAGCGTAGGTTCAGTACTAATCAAAGTCTGCTAGGTGAAACTTTTTCGTTGGTTTACGTTCATATGATGAATCTATTATCAGAGAATTAGAATTAATATCGTGTCTGATCGATCATTTTCCATTTCTTTTTCTTGATTGTTAGCCAAAATTGAATTCGAACAAACTTTGAAAGCATAAAACCTGTTGAGAAGAATCTTCAATAGAAATATACTGATCATCGTGTATTATGATTGACTTGTAGCGACACATGGGAAGAGGGCGTTGTGTGCATGCAAACACTATATTTGAAGATAATTCTTACTATTGAATGAGACGATACTGCAGTCTTCCTCAGCTTTCTGATTCTTTATTTTCAAGTATTATGCTTGTTTCTGGTGCGTACGATGGATGTATGACTAGTCAAAATGTCTTTCTCGAAATATTTCTGACGATCGTAGACGTTTTACATCAAATACTCTGACGAAAAGCGAAGATACCAAAAGAAAAAAATAATCGTTATTTCTTTTTTATAAACAACCAATAGGGAAGAGAACGGAGCAAAAGAAAAGAAATCAACGTTTATAAGTGTAACATATACAGGAATCAAATAGAAATAAAAGAGTATTTAGATGAAGTTTCGTTTCGTTTTCTATTTTTTATTAATAGAAGTTTCAAAAATAAAGAGCACTTGCAATATTTTTATTCAATGAAATCATATGATAAACTTCTCTGAATGGAGATTATTAGAGAAGACTTGCTTTTTAATAAGGAATGTCTACTATGACATTCAATAATATATGTGACTTAGTATTTAAGATCTAATGGGAAAACGTTACGTCTATAGCTGGATAGTTGTGAAGAAAATCTGTTTAATCAATCATAATTGAAATTGTACTGCACAATAATCTGATGAGAATCAAAACAATTTTCAATAAGTCCGACTCCAGGGATAATCCTATGATAATAGAAAACTCAAGCAAGAAAGTGCTACACAAAACATAGTTTTCGTTCGTATCGAAAACAAGTAGATCAACTTTTAAATATCTGTTGTACGATAAAAAAAATTAAAATTTCATTCCTTACACTTATATAAATATTTATTTTGCGATCTATAGATCTTATCAAACGTAACATATTAGGCTGTTCTTTTTGTCATGTTTACGATTTTTATTCTTTGCAAACTTGATTGCAACGATATACACATATCTATATTGTGAAAACTAGTTAGAGCTACAATACTATTTTCAAATAATGCTTTTATTTTTGTTTCTTCAACATTTAAGACTTGATTCATTTTTTACAAACATAAAACTCATTGAATATTATCGACGATGTCTTCGATCGTGGCTGGCATTGAAATGGGTGGCACAGGATGTAAAGTAGCAATCAGTGATATTAATGGACAATTTACTGAACAGTATTCATTACAAGTGGTAACAACAACATCGGAAAATACTTTACGTGAAATACATGATTGGCTAGCATTAAAAAAATCGGAAAGACCATTCGTTGCTATTGGCATTGCATGCTTTGGACCTGTTGATCTAAATAAAAAAAGCAAAACTTATGGCTATATTACAACAACACCAAAACCAGGATGGCAATATGTTAATGTAGTTGGTGCCTTTCATGATTTGAATGTTCCGATTGTTTTTGAAACAGATGTTAATGCTCCAGCAATGACTGAAGCTGCACTTCTAGGTGATACATCAGCAGCTTACATTACCATAGGAACAGGTTATAGCACTAATAGACTTCTTGAATAATATTATTCGTTGATATTATTATGTAGGCGTTGGCGTTGGTCTTGTGATTAACTCTCAACCTATTCATGGTTTAATGCATCCCGAAGGTGCACATATTAAAGTTGAACGTATATCTGGTGATGATTATTCGGGTTGTTGCCCATATCATGGTTCATGCATTGAAGGTATGTCAAAAGCTCAAGCAGTTGCTGAACGTCTTAATATTTCACCAAGTCTACTCAGTACGATTCCCGACGATCATCCGGTGTGGAATATTCAAGCATATTATATAGCTCAACTATGTGCAGCAACCATGTATCTTACATCAGTCGAACGTATTATTATTGGTGGAGGATTAATGAAGCGGCAAATTCTTTTTAAACTTGTACGAAAGCATTTTCATCAAATATTAAATAATTATATTAATATTCCAATAATTACACAAAATATCGATGAATATATTTGTCCATCACAACTTGGCGATCTTATCGGCATTCAATCAGCTTTGGATTTGGCACGAACAGTGGTTAATAAAAATTGAATTCTGTATTAAAATAGATTTTTAATGTTGATTTTATATCACAATTATAATAGTTATAAAAATTAATTGAAAACACTTTAAATTTGAATAAAAGTAAAGACTCGGGTACTATTAGCTATTCAAAAGACATGTCTCAGAAAATAAATATTTTTTTCTAGTGAAAAGAAAAGACACAATTTTTTTATTAACATGAGAATGTGTTTAAAATGAAGATCCATAATATTAGAAGAGAAATAAGGTAAATAATACAACAAAGTGAGTGAACTATAAAATTATTCAGCAATTATTTTTTTGAAAAACAGAGTCTACGAAGAAGGTGTTCATTTCTTGCGGTAAAAGTTTTTGAACTGCTAGAATTTGAATTTATACATTAACTTCATTCGTAGAATCTTGTTCAAGAAGTGTATCTTTTCCATCTTGATTATCATCTTCTGAATTAATGAGGGGTGATGGTGAACATGGTGGTGTAGGTGGATCTTTTCGAATGCCCACATATGGTTGATCCCATTTTGTTCGTTCGTATTTCGATTTTAGCACTGTTTGTGTTACTGTGGATATGAATTGTTGTTTTTTTGTTGTAGTTCGATTTGATTTATTAGAAGATTTTCGATCTGATCCTTTTTGACGTTTTCGTTTTAAAATAGATGTATTTGCTGAAGTTGTTGATGGTTCTTTTTTATTCACCGTTCTTGTAGTTGAATGTGGTTGTTTTTCTAAGGGTTTCAATAATGTGTATTTTGATATTACTGTATTCTCTTTTGGTTTATTCGATGGTAAGGGAAATCTGTACATTTTTGTTGTTACTTTTTTAATTCTCTTTTGAAGTTCATAATCATCATTAGTCAGTGAATTATTACGATCTATCGATGATGGAGGTTTTTCTTCGGTGTACTTTGATTGATCCATCTGAGGAATCAATTTTTCATTTGATGAAATGATTTGAGGCGAAGAAAATTGACTTTCTTTGTCTATGTGCAAAGTTTGTTTATCAGGTATAATTGGTGAAGAAACTTGAATAGGAGTAGAACTGCTTGATCTACTTGATGATGTTCTACTCCTACGATGAGTTCCACTATTTGTAAGTAGTGATGAATCACGAAATGTAACAAAATCCTTTGTAGATAAAAGAGTTTGATCACATTGACCATCATTTAGAAAATAATCAGAATCGTAAATTTCGTCTCTAAAATACAATCTAAGATGATAAATATATATTCATAAGAATAAAATATTTCATTTACTGTCGTTTTTGTATTTCTGCTGATGTCCAATATTTTTTCCATGGATATAATGTACTACTTGTATTATTTACAAAATTATTGACTGGTCGAAGGGGTTCTGCTTTAATAGTAAAATGTTTGGATAGTGTGTCAAATAGGCGGGAACTTCTAGCATCGCCATTTGTTATCACTGGAATTGATGTAACAGTTGTTCCACTTCCTATTATTGCTCTAAATGGTTCTCTATTACTAGTATTCTTTTGTTGCTGCGATTGTTGTTGTTGTTGTTGCTGCTGCTGCTGCTGCTGCTGTTGCTTTATTTTGATCGATGCAGACATATCAATAGTTGTTCCTGAATAGTATCGAGCCATTTCATGATCAATAAGTGTTCGATGCATACTATCTTGTGTTTCACATACATTGATTTGATGATGTAGAACACCAGGACCACGTCGAGTCGATCGATTCTTAAGATTAAAAGTAGTTGTACGATCATGTTTAGAATGAATCGTAACAGTTGAGAACAATATTGGCAATGTGATCTGCCTAGAAGTTTGTCTATTGTGTATACGATGAATATCTGAAGCAACTGGTTTTGACAGAGACGGTAAAATTTTGATGATGTCAACCATCGCTGTTAATGAAATGATGGCGTATAACTTTTTTCGTTTTTTTCCGTTAGATTATTTTAACCATCGTGTGAATAATAAATGGCTTCGAAGCTTGTTACTTGTCGTTTAATGGTATTATAGAGTTTCAAACGATTAGTATGTTTGCATTTATGTTGTGAAGCGTTTACTCTTTTCAAGATAGAAGTAGTAGAATAAATACTTATATAAACACCATACTTGTGTTCTAATGTTCGACATGGGAGTGTTGTTTTTAATGCATTGAATACAGAGAATAATTTTTTCAAATAAATTTTTTTATGAAAAAATATTTTTATCCAAAAAATAAGTTTAATCGATGAAATATTTCTTGCAGGTTCATTCAGAGTTTTTTTTTCAAGGATTCATCATTAGCTGTCTTGATAAACGATTGAAAAATTGTATTCGAAATCGATATTAAAATTTTAAATTATACGACGATATCGATCTAATCATGAATAAAGTAGTAATAGAGCAAGAATACAAATGAAGAATAAATAGTTCAAAAGGGGCATACTAGCAATGAGATAAAGAAATATTCCTTTTTACTAATGATTTATAAACAAAAATATATTGCGTTCATTCATACTTGTCAAGTATAATGAAACCTGACTTGTGAATAAGTAACCATTGTTGGCAACCATGAGAGACGAACAACGATGACAACTAAATCGATTTTAAGTATCATTTTTCTAATAGCAAGAACTCCCCATGGTGACAACATATCCATAATCCTTGTGATATCGATTTGATATTCTATATTACACTCTGCTTATAAAAGCAATGTACCAATCGTACACCTGCTGAGAAAACTTTATATTGTACTTTTGATTTTTGTGGGAACTTCGAATTCCACCTTTTTTTTATTTGATTATTGCTTGATTTCTTGTTCTAACTTACCAATGAAATAGCAGATATTACTGTTATTTTGTAATTTAAATTTAATAATAACAAAGCCATATAGAGAAAAAAAACATTTTTTGTGATCCAAATGGTACAACTAGGAAGCTTGATAATACCTTCTGATAGATTCCTATTAGAAATACTGCTATAATAACGATCGATGCATTGTGGAGTGAATTATCGATGTGAAACTAGCATGCATACAACGGATTTATTTTTATTTGAAATTATCTTCAACATTTTTATATTGTTATTTTATTTAAATGATTGTCATGATTATGAGAATGATCTATGTTAGTTATCCATTAAACACACAGCAATATTTTGTTTTTGTTTGTATGATTTTTTTGTTCATGCGAAACAATGACTAATTGACATCATGTAATCAATATATTTTATTAATTAGAAACAAAATACCATATGATTAGTATTTATTCTGATGTTAAAGATGACTTCTTTTGTTTTTTCGACTTATCTTTAGGGTTTGGTGCATTGAGATTAGTATTCATATAGAATGCTTTTAATAAACGCATTGCTTCATCACTTTCAATTCCACTTGTACATTCTAATGGTAATGTATCAGGCATAGCGTCTTGTGCAATATCTAGTACAGAACCACAACCACCAAAACGATCATTTGAACATCCGTAGACAACTTTGGTTATACCAGCAAGACGTAAGGCGCCAGTACACATCATACAGGGTTCACAAGTGACATAGAGAATAGATTCCGAAAGAAGCTGAAAGAGCAAATAATAAAAATGAAACAATAATAAATATGTAAACAGAAAAAAGAAAGAAACTTTTCGTGCAGTTGAAAGATCGTACTGAGCAAAAAACCTATCAAGTGCACACATTTCAGCATGTCTTGTAGCATTTCTAAGTCGAACAGGTTCATTTTGGCCTGACGCGATAATTTTTGAATCATTATGAATGATTACACAACCAACTAAATAATCAAATTAATATTCAGTTCAAATAGACAATGATATGAATAAAATATGTTTATTTACTTGGAACTTCTTGTTGATCTAATGCATTTTGTGCTAATTTAAGTGCTTCGAGCATCCATCTTTGACCTGGATGATTTTGCTGTTGATTTATTAATGCCATAGTTATTCGTGGGCGATTCGCCCGAAAAACAGTTGAAGAAGAAATCCCAATGATTTGTTAATCAATTGGTCTGAAACAAAAAATAGATAAAACCCAGAAGAAAATAATAGAACACACAAAAATCAATGATTAAAATGTAGATTTGAACAATTTTTTCTTAACTGTCAAGTTCATGTTATACTATTTTTATTATATCATTAATCTAGTCATAAAATATTATCCAGCATGGAAAAGTCTCTGAACTACCGAGTGAATTAATAAAAATAATTACGATCAATTTCTCTTTTCATTGATCAATAATAATATCTCTGGTAGCAAAACAAGAAATGGTCATTAATAGAACATCAAAAGAAACAACAATGCTTCCTTTTATCGATTAATAGTATTAATCATATCGAATAATCACAAGTCTATAACTAAATCGATGAGAAACTCATGTAGATCATAAATTATTATTTGATTTTCGATCGAATGATGTTAAATATGGCAGCATAAATGTAATTATTGCTATTTTAATCATTAGCATGAAATGTTCATCATCATATGATTTTCATAAATCATATCACCACTGTTAATCGTTAACGTCATATTGCATCAAAAATAGTTTTCTTCATACATACACATAAAAAGTTACTTTAAGCAGAATAAGTTCATGCCTGATTTTGATCATTATTCGATACTTAATTGTTGTTGCTTTTTATTTACTAGTGGTATCGTGCTATTCTCAGCCAGGACAGACCCTTCTGAATTGGCATTCTGGAAATCAATTAGTTCTCGAACGAACTTATTATTGATAACTAAATAAGCAGCAGTATAGGGTGTCTTTACTTTGTCACTATTGGCTATTTAGTGGAACCAGTTGAAATTATTTTATTCGTTATTTTGCACTATATTCCTCCTTTAGTACCTATTTAATACTCTTTCATAATGGCGAATGTAAATAAGTTGTCGCCTCAAATAAAATTTTGAAGAAGTAAAACTAAATTACACAGTATCATTAATTAATTCATTCACAAAGAAGCTTGATGTATAAAACTTCAATTGATAAAGCAACTGAGATAAATAAATTACTAAAGCGTGAATCTCATGAAAGATTCTCTCATTCGTTAAAACCTTTTTATTTTCAGTAGTACGTAGTAAGAAAAATCTTTGAAATCAACTCAACACAGTATAAGTTCAAAGAAATGTTCCTATTGTAACAATTTCAAATTGTTTAGTTTTTTCATTCTGAAAACTGACTGTGGAAAACAGTTTCTGTTTTTGTTTTGCATGGCTTTCATGCGCAAAGGATTTTCAGCATTCATCTTCTAGAACAGCTCACATATCCATTTAATATGAAGTCTACACGTTGATCTAGTTTCATTGAGAGGTTCTCGTTGAAAATGTTTTATTCAAAGCTCAAATATCTATCTAACAATAAATCCACTCTAAAATGGGTGGGTGTGAGTGTTGGAAGACCAAAGCCACATCCGTATAAAAAAATAGTAAGTTTTACATCACATTACATCTTGTCGTATGAGTTGTTGCAGAATCTGAAGCTCGATCATTTCGATTTCATCTTGAGTATAAAAGCTTGTTTCTGGCAGTGTTCTAATAATACAAATAGCCATTGGACTATGCTCATTTTTTTCCCACTAACTTTTATATCCAAGGTTCATCATAAGACAAAAAAGCTCATTATTGTTGATATTTGTAACTAAAGTGCTAACTGCCTAGTAAATTATCTCCATGCTTTTTGCAATGGAGGCAATATTTTCATTTACTGTTCTGGACTTATTTTTCTTCTCTTGTGAGACTATATCAACCATTCTAATATATGCAAGTTTCAGTATCAGAATTACCGGATAGGCTATTCAGAAATAAAAAATAACGGGTCAGTCAACAGATGTGCATTAATTTTGCTTTTGATTTAGCATAGGAACACAATACTGTAAAACCTTGATTTTGTTTTTGTAAGAAAAACAAATCATCGAGTACATAAATTGATATGGTGAGAAATGTTTTTCGATGTTCTCAATAGTCTTCAAACAACAAATCTCAAATATCTCTTCCGAAATATTGGGCTCACAAATATTTAATTCTCGTATATTTGTTTGTATTTTGTTATCGAGCTATATCTATTTAGTAGAGCCCCGACTTTTCTGAGATAATTCGATAGCTGATCTAGTGTAAGGAAGACTGAAGAAAAATGTTCAATCAGACATTGACTTTGAGGCTATCGACAGCACAAAAAGAAGGTCTTATCTAATTTTACATAAATAAGATTGTTGTATCTCAATTACTAACGTTTATTAGACAATTCCATCAATGTCTTGTTTTGAATAAATAATATTCTCCGATAATTTTTCCATTGGAAAATAAAATTTTTTATTTGATTTCAGTCAAAAGCTGTGCAAAATTGATAATACCAATAGGAACTATAATTATGGCTCGTATCAAACATTGTAAAAGTTTTGACAATTCCCCTTGTTCAATACAACATTTGATCTCTATCTTTACATTCATAGCTCCATTTGAATAATAATAATAATAATAGAGCCTTTCGTGTTGCATGCAGTCATTTCTAGATTCAAAATGTTGTGAAAAATGGTTTCTAAAGAGTTTCTTTCATAATTTTTATGACCTTCGAAGAACATGACGGATCGAATTCTTCTATAAATTTTCATAGCAGACACTTTAGTCTATCTGATAAAATAAGGATCCAATTTCTTCAACGTAGTACATATTTGCTATATCACAAACAAAATTAATGCACAGATTTTGCCTTCATCGTTATCTTATCAAAACAAATAATATATAAAAATCTAACTTAGACACAAAAGTGATGTACATTTCTTGTGGATGATATGTGGTTGTGATAGCATCAAAACATTTCTACAGATGTTAATGGACTAGTACTTGGATGTATTATCGAGCAAAATCGTCAAATATGCAATCGACAAATGCGATTAACCATTCACAGAGTAACATGATCTTATCGTGAAATATCGAAATTATTTCTTTCCAATTTTTGATGTTTCATAGAAACCTATGTATAGAGTAAGCTTTTCTTTCCTAGTACATAAATATATTTCATTAAGGATCTGCCACAAAAGTCTATAGTATTTATATTGTTTTCTACATGGATGTGCACATTATTTTTCGTTTTTTCGAACAATGCTTTGGAATCAATCGTATACTAGAACTCAATTTTCACGCATTCTTATCTCAACTACTGCAGACATTTTCAAAACCAAGCAAACACTTCTTTTATAGCACACTCAAAAATAAATATATCAAAGTCAATATGTGCCCGATGTTAATAATGATGTCAGCATAGTGATTGAAATGATAATTGTTTATGGCATACGCAGTATAATTGAATGATGATATATTATAGGTACCATTCGTTTCACGAATAAAAATAGAAAAAACCTAATGCATTATACATCTTTTATTCTATTAATCGATTATAAATGATCATTTATTTGATTCGTTATCGTTTTATTCATCTCTCTTTTCAGTATAAATGAACGTGTAAATTTCATTTTGTAATACTTCATTTATTGAAATATAATGACTACACTTTTTACTCATGCTTGACATTTCACTTCAACATCGTTTTATAGACAGTTAAAAACTGTGTATATATAAAGATAAGATATGCATAGATGCTAACTAAACTAGTAGTAGTTCATTTCAATGAAATCATTGAAATGAGAAAGAAGGTTAGTTGATTATTACAAAAAAAAAAGAATTATCATATAGAACTCTTATACAAAATCAATTTTTTCTTATAAAAGTATAGAGAAATATATATATATATATATGTATGTCTATAGATCTTTCATTATCAATGATCCCCTGTCGTAGATTAATAACATCATTTGTTGCCAAGGTCAATGAAATGTTTGACGTCTTGTGAATCGATTGGTGTATTTTTCATTTCTCAACAACAAACTAACATTACATTATCTATAATTCTCGTTTGATCTACACATATGTCTATATGGATAAATGGGAAAGAGAACAGTATTATCTATGTGTTGATGTATCCTCGATATTCTACTGAGAAAAACAAGTTAAAACTCAAAATAAATAGAATCAAAACAACTCGATATCAGTTTCATAGATTTGTTCTATAGAGAAATAACATTATTTTGATAAAAAGTATCATTTTATTCAGTATTTTTGACAAGCAGATGATTTTTTCACAATAACTATTAACAAGGACAATGTCTACCAAAAAAGTTACTTCTATGTCTGTTAGCCTTGACACATTATATCGATAGATAGTGTAGAACTCGACTAGGAGTGACGCGTTTAGCAGCCAATTTTTTTCTGTTCTTTTCGTCGTTTTTTTCTTACTCGTTCATTGCATGCCAAACAAAGTGTGTAGCCTACAAAAGAAAGAAAATAAGAAAATGTTCTTTATTCCACTGACGTCTTATTCTATCAACGTCCTGACTAAGGCACGAGAAAAACTTTTTCTTTTCGTTCTCACTGAGAAAACCTTTCCTTGTGTATTGATAATCCATCTGCTTCTATTGCCAGTATATAAACAAGACAAACACAAAGAAATCAGAAGTATTGTCATCATACTATTTTATTGAATTACTTTACTAATTTATAGATATACGCATAATGTTAATCATACGACAATGAATTTTCAGTGCTATTTAAATGCATTTTGACACAAGATTACTTTTTTTTGTCTTTATGATCGAACTCAGATCATATTTTGGTCAGTATGCTGATGATCAAAGTTACTTATCGTCAATTGAATTCAATCGTGGTGGTAATGCAACAAGTCTGATAATTTCATCGCCACATGGTGGTTTTCTTGGTGCAAATTTAACATTAAAAAAATCATCGAATAATGAAACATTATCAACAATATTAACGGAATTGCCTGTAGCTGGTTGTTATAACGATACTGTAAAGCAATGTGTATATACATTAAAAGATTGTTTAAAGTCGTCTAACAAAACCATTTCGTATCATGCCGATGCAAGATGTGTTATCGATCGTAGTTCAACATTATCGATGTATTTATTAACGAGATCTATAGCAAAAGCATTTGTATCAAATCATCATCCGTTTACAATACTGAATAAATTAACTCGTCAATATGTTGATCCAGCTGAAAATTTACTTCTAGGAACATTCTTACTCGAAAGTGCTATTCGTGTGTACTTTGATTATCATCGATTAATAGCTATGGCTAAAGAAGCTATACGCTCACCGTCGCGTGGTCTTTTCATTGAGTTTATCTTTCATCGACATTCTCAAACAGTACAACTTGGTTATGGTTTTGACCCATTCAGTTCATCTCGTCTTAGTAAACCATTGGAATCGACTATGCGTGAATTGATTTCACGTTCCGGTCCTAGCGTCATTATAGGAAACAGCTCATTGGCTTATTTCTTAAGACTTAACGGTTTTGATTATGTTATTCCCATGGAACAATCACAACAACAGAGACAAATTAGATATCTTTTATCAACTTACTCAACACGAATGCATGCTGATCAACGATTTAATGCAATTCTATTCTCATATCCCATCGAACGTTTAAGAAAGCATTCAATCGAAAAAGAAGCAAAGCGTATTGCCAAGGCTATCGAACAGTTTATACAAACAAACAACATAAAGATTCTTTCTTCTTTTGCTTCGCCTTCGTTATCAGCTAATCGAATTGTGTGGTTATTTTTATTATTCTTATCACAATGCTGTACCATTTTGTACAATTATCATTGAAAATATCTTCTTTATTCTATTGTTAATAAAATTTACAAACTATATCAAGAAGATACACAACTAATTGTTTTATTTATTTTATCGATTGAAAGAGAAAAGAAACACAAATTAATCAGTAACAAAAAATTAATTTAGTTAAAGAAAAAATTTAATTCAATCGATTTCTTTTTTCTATCTGACATATTTAGAGATGGATCTTTTGTTTTAGATAAGATCATGTTTTTCATTGCCACAAATTTTTCCGAATGGGCAACTAAATAATGTACAAGATTTACATTTAAATGGTACCGTATAAAATAGAACAATTAATGTAATAAATACAGCAATTGTTATAGCTAACGATGTTGTAACAACTACAAGACGGCGAACATTTTTTCGAAAATTAACATCAGGAAAAACAATCATATTTAACATGAAGCCAATTAAAAAACCAAAACATTGCGAATAATTATCGACTAAGGGGAGTAAACCGACAGTTAATAAGAGAAATAAACATACAATAATTTTGAAAAATGGTATCCATGGCCGTTTTAATGAACGCCAACCAAGAAATAATTCACTTAGATAACAAGCAAGTATAGCTAATTGACTACCACCAGGTCCGACCTGTATTGAATCACGTAAAAATAATGCACTCGCTAAACTTCCAACAAAACCAGACACAATATATATAATCATCACACGTATACAGCCAGCTAATTTTTCCAATGGACGCATTATTGTATATTGAAATATAATTGTTATTAACAAATGAATTAAACTAAATATACGAAATTATTTTTTAATTTAAGAAAACGAAATTGTTTTTTCGTATACCCAGCATGAATGAAAATTACAGTCCAAAACCGATAGACTTGATCAGGCACACGAGCTAAAATTAATTTAACAAAAAGAACATAAAATAAAGAATAATAAATCCAATTTTAATTTATTACCAACAAAGAACTCTAGCATACCACATACACTTTGTATACAATCAACCTAAAAGAAAATTTTACTTTTTTGTTTACTTTTTAATGGCTAGAATAATCATCTTACTTGAGAACATAAATGAGCTCGGGCATGAAAAATACCACGACGACGTCGACAATCATCTCTTGATGTTAAAATACAATCTCCTAGTACGCCAGTACAACAGGGTCTCACTAGAAACAAAAAGAAGTTGTTAGCGACATCCCTGCGACAGTATTGTTGCTAATCCAGTGACCGAGTACGATAGATCTGTTCAATGTACTTTTCCTCGTTTCTCGAGAAACATCTGCGTTGAAAAATATCAAAGCTTGACTTGTCTATTTTACAACTACTTTAGATTGTGTTTCACGAAAATGTTGATAAGTATTTATAAATGAATTTTGTTTACGAATAACATACCTATATTTGTACATTGCATATGTGGGTATAACGATATATTATTTGATATTCGACTATAATCTTGTTCAAGACAAATCTAAACATAAGATAAAAGGAACTTTCGAATTTTGAAAACATCATTGAAAGTTAATCAATTCATAAAAATGCCTTAACTAGTTCCTGACATCGAATATTTTGATTCTTCTATGCATTTTCACGAGTTTTAATTAGAAAATTTTCCATGTTTGAGAATGCAATAGGTTTTTAAAGTTTCTAAAAGTCGATGGAAGATGTTGACCTCAATCGTTTAAGAGTGTCAACTGAAAATCCAGACATGAAGACTGCAATTGTTCTAGTTTACTGAAAGAAATACCATAGATAATTGTTCTATTTCACTCAGGCATGATAATAAATAGAATCGTTGCGTTTGTATTTACTATGCACATGTGCATATATTTTATTAAAAATTTCGAATATAAATAACAGAAATATTTCATCGGATAATCTCATAGAATACATTTTTATATTGAAAAGTAATTTGATGTAACTTGATAAATTGATATTGAAAATAATTTTTATCGTGAAATCAAAACATGAGAGAAATTTTCTAGAGTTTTTACATCGTTCGTATTTGTTTGTGCCAAATTATTCTATGAACAGCGATATCATATATACATATATAGACCCATCGAATCTTCTGATTTCACAAGTTGATTTCTAGTGTTTCTCTACTTGGGACTCTTGTTGAAACTTCGAACCAGTAAGAGAATTGGGGAACTACTGAAGTGTCTAATAGTAACATCAGTTTATAGTAAATTTTATCAACATCCGACAGAATAATAGAAATCAATGTTTGTATAGGAATACTTTTAAAAATCAATTGTTTCTACATTATTACAAGATCACTTATTTTGGTAAGAGTATTTTACTGAGTTTTTTTTTTATATTGAACTCTCTATTCTAAATCGTAATATCAATGATATCATTCAACATGTTCACACAAGATACTAAGAATCTATAAAAGTTGTTGAAGTTAACCACAAGAAGCTCTACTATCATTAATTTCTCTAATGAAAACAATGGTGTAATATCGAAAATAATAACATTTTTTTCATGCTTTAAATCATTATTACAAGTAAATGTTAGAAGGCTCTATACATAAAATAGTAAGACTGGTCTAGAATGCAAAAGTATTGATACAAGATCGATTTCGATCGATTTAAATTTATCAAAATCAAAAAATATCCTGATATTGCTCGTTTTTGACAATTATATGTGTTCTTCAAATTTTAGGAAAACTTTCTTACTGAAATACGATGCAACAGAACCGTATTACACAATTTGACGCTTACTTCTGTAGAGATTCTACTATTATTAGAATACTAAAACAAACATGGCTTTCGCGATATTTAAACGTGTAGCAGCAAAAAGATAAATATTAGGATTCTTATGTCTACATCTAATGTGAATATACATTTAATCCTTGTTCAATTTCTCAGAACTCTTACAAATGATCATTGGACAGAAAATCTTACGAAAGCAAGTGTTTAAAGAGCAACTACGATGAATCGATATCGAACATACCGGCCATTTAACAGCATTGGGTGACCACTTGAAAATTTTTGAATCAACTATTGTTGACGTCCATGAACTTTCATCTTCTCGTAGAATATTTCCAGTTAGTTTTTTCGTACAAGTTCTAAAATTATTCGAATAGATTACAGAAAAAAATATTATGCCTATATGTGTATGTATATATTGTAATTACTCTGGTGTGAGACCGCATACAGCTGGATAGATCACACTGTTGATTTCAGTTAAGTTTTTACTTTTTAATGGAATTTGATACCATGTCAACGCAGCTCGTGTCTAAAAGCAAAATTCGTTTTCTTATTTTTTATAAGTAAAATCATGCGTACAAGGCATTGCTGAGATAGAGTTTGCATACAACGATTTGCGATGGAGTCTATACAGCAACCCGATATTGTTTCTAATTTTGCTTGTTTTTCATATCGACCATTCACTTCATCGTGTTTACGCATACATGGTGTATATTTCGCACCTAAACGAATTAAATCTGCTGGATGTGGACCAAACCATATATTCATCGTTAAGTCAAATCGTTGTTGATTAAATATTGAAGTGTTATTCTAAAGAATGAGAAATATTCTTCTTTTTCTTAAAGAAAACATTGTTATTTTAAAGTGAAATACTTACAGACTGTGTTGATGTGAATGGAGCATAGCCATATACAATTAATGAAATAGCACAAACAAAAATTTGTACAAATGTTACCCAATAAGTAAAATAAGGACGATAGGAGTGTTGAATTTCAACTAAATTTTCTGATTGATTGTCTTTACAAGACAAACATGAAACAAATTTATTTAATGGTGGATATTTAACTGTAGCTATAAAAGAAAAGATAATAGATATTCTTCAATCAAACAAATAAGTAACTAATTACTATGTGGAAGAATGTTCTTTCTTGGAGTTTGAAGAAGATCATTATCAGTTTGCGTACATTGAGCACTAATTATTCTAGATTAGAAGAAAAAAGTCAATATTTTACTTTCTCCCATAAAGTTTTTCATTACCGATGATGTGAATTATCACCATCATTGCCATCGAATTCAGCTAGTTCGTTTGAATCTTGTTGTGTTAATACAATATTTTTTAAACATAGACTAGTTCCATTCACTTGTTTATCTTCATCATCTTCCTATAATCAAAATGATACGATTTATATGATTTCAAAACTTAAACAAAAAACAAAACGAAGAACAAAACAAAACAGCTTAAAATTTAGGAAAAAGCAGACAAACATGGATATGATTAACCTCATAATAACATGTAGATGCTCTCCTAGATGTTGAGTTTGATATCTCATGTACCTTTTGAGTAAGGGTTATTTAGTCAAATATTAATAAAAAAAAAAAAAGAAAAGACCACTATTAAAACTTACAGCAAGTAAATTACGAACACCAGTTACAGCTCGACTCAATATTGAATCATTTTTTATATTTGATCTATCACAATCCATAGTGAACGATGTTGCCATTGGAGGTGTATCGAAAATAGACCTTTAAATAGATTGAATTTTTAAAGATTATTGGGATTAATTTCTTTTTCTTTCGTTTTACTTTTGTTCGACATCGTTACCATGTTCAATAACAACTTCATCTTTTAGTTCTCCACCAAGCATACTATTTTTACTTAAAAAAGTATAACGTCGTTGCTGCCAGTGATCTTTGTGCAATGTTGGACTAGTAGCGATTGCTAATGTTGAACTAGCATTCGCTTGCATAACACTAAACGAAAGAAAAAAACAATCGTATATATTCAAAAACAAAAAAAAACGCTGTTTCAAAATAAATGAAAACTAAGAATAGGATATTAATTAATTTCATTCATTACACTGATTTTTATGTATCTACCGATCATATCGATTGACTTGTTCAGATAAAGTTCGTCGCTTTCTTACGGCACCCACTGTTATATAACCTCCTGGTAATTTCTTGAGAATTAAACCATTTGAAGGCATTGATATTTGTGAGAAATGTCGTCGTTCATGTTTCAATAATGGTATTAGACCACTTTCGTGTTGTTCTTGTTCATCGGCACCTTTTTCAGCCATTTTATTTGGTTTTACAGTATACGTTTACTACTGTATAGATTGCTAATTACGAAAAAATGATAAAGAACATTAAGACTAGTTGCTTATTAACGATAGAAAGTAGACATATTTCGGCAACTAATGATTGCAAGAAAACAATTCCTCTAGTTGAATTTCTCATTAACATTTCATTTAAAGTAATGCATCATCGTGTGAGATTAGAAATTTGATAGATAATGTGTGTAGTTACTCTTATTTAATAGAGAAAATAATGAAGATCTTTTTAGAAAAAAATAAACTATAAATTAAATCATATTTATCATTCTCGATGCTTGTTATTTCTATGAATAGATAAAGTCAATGATAATATGGAACAAGCAAGAGTAAGTAAGCGTTGATATAACTGAAAAAAGACAAACCCTGTCAGCTATATATGATTGATAGTGGTACTTTGATGCGCCTGTCACTGTTCTTTCATTATCTCAGTGTTTACATCAGTACACAAACATGCTAACTCCTAGTAGTATAACAGATTACTTGAATAACCAAACAGAAGTTTCAAGAAAATATCTTTCATCATTGCCATTGTTATTTGCTGAATATCAAATAAATAATTCATATTACCGTTACCTTTTTGACTCGCATATAAAATCACTGGTATCAACAATGACAGGAGCAGATGATGAAAAAGAAATATGATCTTTCCTTTGTTTTTCATAATATTCTTCCATGATTTGTCTCTCGTCAAAATCAACGGTCAATAAATGATAATTAATCGAAGAAGAAAATGATGATGACATATCATTATCTTTTTGTATTCTTGTATCAATTTTGCAGTAAGCAAATATATCTTAGCAATAAAATGAACCGTCTTCAACTAGCTTGAAGACACATTTATAAATAACTGTAAGTGAAAAAAGTTTTGTTCTTGTTATTGTTCTATCCTGCACTCCATGCGTGTAAATACGTAACGAAACTTGTTACTTAGATTCAATTTTTTTCTTTTTTTTTCTCTCCGTTGGCCTTGCTTGCTCTTGACTATCAACATCATTATATCGCCCTTTTTCTTTTTGTTCGTTTATTCTTTCGAATAGCATAGAATCATTATATAGAAGGATTTCCCTTCGGACTTCGACTGTATCCATATCGTATCATCTCATGAAAGAATTGATCGATTAATAAATTAATTATTAATCTGAATTTTAATAATAGTTACAACATAGAGTGACTGTAAAATAAATGAAAACTGGAGTATCAAGGCAACTACAGGTTCTCCTTGAATTTATGCCATCAAAAATTTACTGTTATAATGCAAGAATGGGGGAATTGAGCGTCTTATGATAAGCAATTTTGAAATCGATTATGTGATAAAAATGATATGAAATAATTTACCGCTTCGTTAAATTGCACCAACCAATTGGATCGTTAACGACTGATGATGACGATGTCGGGGGAGTTTTTTCACGTTCATGAATATTTTCGACAGCCATATTCCATAATTGGCGACCATGAGATAAGCTACTATTAAGATTTCCAGAATTACTGGGACTATTTGGTGATGATAATGATATGGAATTTTGAGGGAATGCGCCTGTCAATGAACGAGCTAAATAGAATTTCATGTGAAATGATAACAAATTCGAATTGTTACACATACTTTTTTGAGAGGAAAAATTCATAGTATGATTCGTATTATTTACTGCCATTGAATGTGTTTCGAATTATCAGAATAAAAAATCATATCATTCTTTTTGCTTTTGAATACAGCAATTCTGAATTCATAACAAAAATATATACAATACAATTAATTATTTAACAAAAATGATTGGACATTTTTATTTGTCAAAGAGAGACATCTTGAAGATATATATGCATTAATTCTCCTTTTTCTCTCGAAAAGATGACGCTTCAAAAACGAATATAATCATCAATCTATGATTTTAATTATTTATAATATATCATTCATAATTATTATTGAACTTGTCATATAGAACTAGTTCGTTCAATGGTCGTATGAATTGCATATTACTTTAAAGTAAACTGTCAAATATTTCATTTGAAAAGATTGTGAAAATTTAATTTATTACTGTTACAAAGATTGTCGAAAGAAACAACTTCTTGATACGATAATATTTGTTATCAAATATATGTTTGTTAATTTTTGATAAGAATTTTGCTATTATGAAATAATCTAATAAGAATTCACTTTCTGTTTACATTGATCAGCTTATCTTTACAAATAATGAATGTCTATCTTGCTCCATTAACTTTATTGTTATTTTTGTTCGTTCTTCACTGTTTATGTTTGTATTAAGAGATAACTGCCAGCATATAAGATTACCATAAAGAAGAAAAACAATCAAACACAAAAACTACTAGTAGCTATAATTTTAATGTACATGTAAAATTTTTGGTCAATGATTGTTCGAAATGTGGTGTATAACTGTAGTTGGTCACAAATGATAATTTTCATCCTAATTATAATTAATCGAACATGATAGAAAGTTTGAAGCTAATTTTTAAGGTGAATTTGAGTTATCTATAAGATTTACATATAACTAGAGTTTAATTTATTTATCAACACTACACGTACTGCCTATTTTTATCTTTCTACTATTTCATTGTTATTGAGAGATGTATATCGAAGACTTGTTTATTAAATTTGTTAGCTTTATGTTTTATTTCAAAATTCAATACAGATTAATTAGAAAGAACGTTAACCAGATTATCTGTACCAATTAAATATGAGCTTATTTTGAATAATTCCCAAACATTGTCGCGTGCTTAGCAACAGCTAAATATCTGATGCACAGGAAAAAAACTAGCTCTCTAATCTATTTAGTGAATGACATTATTGGAGATAAGTTGAAATAGAAAAGCGTAAAAGCTTCGGTCTATTTTTATTTAAAATAAAAAAGATGTTAGAAACTGTTTGTAAAATAAGTTGAACATATTATCAAAGATGAATGAAGCATACAAAGAATATCTTTCTAGTGAAGAGTTTACAATGAAATTTTTTTGTTTAAGGCGAAATGTTTACTCATTTAAAATATCTTTATTGACGTTTTCACTGATAGTTTCAAGCCTTATTTTATCATTTTCTGAGTTTTTCCACATTTTATATTTAGTTTTATTTAAAAATTTAATTATAAAGACTTCTTGCACATTTAACTAGATGCTAACAAATTATCTTTCACTCTATTAGTTGTATTTTATTCGTCTTAAATACAAAAAAAAGGAATATTCCGTTGCAAATTAATATAGAAAATAACGAAAAACGCCGTTTCAATTGTTAACTATCGAATCTATATTACTATAAACCAAGTGGACTATAAATTTCAAAAAGTGTTGTTAGTTGATTTTGAATATCTCCATGAAATATTCTTCAGTTAAAACACTTAGTACTGTTTCTCGACTTTTACTATACGTAGCCAGAAATCATATCAGAGACATTTGCTATCAGCTAAATATTGATCTACGAAAGCATGAATTAGTAAATTAAATATATTCTTCAACTATGCTAGTTATTTGACACATAAGAGACGTCAAACCTTCAATGAATCCTCTAGTGATCACCGCGATGTTATAAAAAAAAGAATGAGATATCTCACACCACGTCGTTGACTTTTTTTACACACGGAAATATATTAGAAGTTGCAAAAAAATATTGACTGATTACATTATTACTTAATCACTGAGGACATATATTTAAATAAACACGAGACGGCCCGTACATGTATCATTAAAAATATTCTTTCACCTGTATTTCTCCTTTTTATGATATTGACTAAATCAGAAAGAAAAAATTTAATTACTTCTGTTCTCTACTTGAAACTATAACTTTATAGGATAGAAAGAAGGCTGCGCATGATTTTGTAAATTCTGTTACTCTCTCTTGCTTATTCAAATTGTCCTTGTATCGATAAAGATATTTTGCATGAATTGAAATATATTTGTTTGTTGTCACTATGGTATTAACATATGAACGAGACAAATAATCACATCACTATCGTTATTAAAGCAGTGGCTTCTTTGAATCATTCGTCGTAAGAAGAGAATTCCCTAAACAATTTTATTTGTCAAAATATTTCGCATTTTGTTTCGTAACAAGTGTCGGATGTTTATCTTTTACAGTGGATAAAACATACACAGTCCCTTTCTGTTGATATACCTTTTGCATTAAAATTGTCGCCGAATAGGTTGTCCAGGGTGATGCTATAAATATTGGAGCTTGATAAGCTATTTCCTGTTCCAGTACATCAAATAAATAAGGATCTAACACAAAATCCATATGATTCAATAACTGACGTGAAGTAGTAAATGGAATTGACAGACTATCAGTCAATTGTTTCATGTCAGTTGAGTTTAGATATGGACACATTATATGTAGATGTGTAAAATTAACTTTATCATTGATCAAATATAAAATTTGTTTAATATACATCGATAAACTCATGACAACATGGTCGCCTATTCTAATATGTACAACAGCTAGAAATCGAAAATTAATTTGAGAACGATTTTTTCTAATGGCTAATTTAGGTAATTGACTAATTAACTGCGATGCCATACGTTGAAGTAATGGGGTACGACGTAGGAATTCGAAAATTTTCTTTGTGTAATTATTTGGATTTGAAAAAAATTGTCTAAACATCATATAATGAATATGAAGAAATATAGACGAACAATTTTTAGACTTGCTAAATAATTCATACAGCTGAAAATTGTTAGTAAGATTCATTGAGCGATGAAAATCAATATTTATCTTGAAATAATTTTGCACTGGTATCAATGCATTCTTTGAATACCACATTCTACCTCTTACGAGTTCATATTGTTGTATGTAACAATCTATCATCACTGTCTTTTGATTGATTTTGATTTTTTCTATAAATTCATCTAGCGTTATAAAATTAATAACTTGCCGAAGTTGTTTCAAATCAAAAAAATGATCAAACCATTGAATTCCTCTAGCACTCTGTCCATAATGTGGATAGAATGGTGGTATAACTAAAATATATTTATTTAACATTGCTATTATACCACACTTGATAAAATCTCTTAATTGATTGTTAGGACCATAATGATTGACACACCATAAATATTGAGTAGATGTACGACTGGATATTGTTGAAGTGTTATTGGCAAGAATCTGTTTAACACGATTATGTGTTTCTCGCCAATGAAAACGCGAAAACTGTGTTCGATTATTTAGATATAAAGTAATTGTTAACATCGCCATGCCAATGCATATTGTGAATAAAAACCTGCACCATACAGTTCTTTTAACCATAGAAATAAATCAAATAAGAATATCGATGTTTTTTATTGGGTAAATATTTTATAGTAATGCCGCCTCAAAATAATGGAATTTATGTTCTGAAAAAAAATCTTGATCATCTGTCAATAGTGGTTATAGAAGCATGGCCTGATTTTTTTCTTTTTACTTTTCTGTCATTCATTTATGCATTCATTCAAAGTGCTTCAGTATAAGCTGCGTGCTGAAAGGCGAAAATGTACACATAAAGCGCGTGTGTCCCAGCTACACTATTCTTTATAGGATGACTACGTCGGTGATTGCGAATGTTGATTGTAGATGCCAATCAGAGTGCTGCTTTTCTTTTACATTTGATCATTTTCTGTTTCAAGTTTACTGCATTAGTCAGCGTGGTAGCGCTTCTAGATGGAATATTAAAACATCATATTCTATTCTTAAAGCGTGTACACACATTACTCGACATTCGAATTTAATCGAGTAAATTTAACTTCATTTGAATAGCGTCAGTTGAAATCTCGAATCTCAACCAAACTACATCAACCTACAATTCTAGCATATTTATTGTGAACTTGTTTTCTCGCCATTTCTATCATTCTTCTTTCCTCAGTTCCATAGTCCACAAGTGAAAGAGAGAGATAAAACTATTTTTCTGATCTGCTAGAGCTTGTTTAGAATTTGAATTTTCAATTAAGATTTCATCAATTCAATTGAAACCTATTGATTTTAACTTATTCCAAAAATTTACATCATTATAAAATTTGAGAGAATATTTTGTCGATAAATGGACTACGTCTTAAATGTTTATAATACTGTGACAAATAGTAAAATCTTTGACGAGTATTTGGAAATTGAAAAATATAATTTCCATATAATTCATAAGATAAAAATTTCATTGAATCAATTTAATCTGCAGTTTTGTTAATCTTCTAAGAGATTGAAGATAAAAAATCAGTATAATAGTCAGAGTTACTCCAATTCTGCAGGTGGCGGCAATGTAGCCCCCCCC